TCTATTTTCATATCATAGCATCATAGTACAGTACATGAATCTTAAATCCTTAAAATTTTTGGTTGAATTTTTAATTTATTTATTGCCGAGCATTTCAGTTTAAAATCTATACAAAGCAATTTCAGTTTGTTTGTTTGTTTGTTTTTTTTTTTGGGGGGGGGGGGCACAACCAAATATTTTCATGGGAGGACTTTCAAATAGAAACTCCTCGTCAAGCTAAAAGTTATCATGCAGACGTTATTCATTTTATCATTGAGCCCAAGCATAAAGTAGAGTGTATACTTACTATGTTTTACACAGTTTAATGCATATATCGGCAAAAATTATGGGGGGGGGGGGGTTACGGTCCCCTCATGCCTCCCCTTCCGGTTCCTACGGCCATAAAATAGATAAACTCCATATGCACCTTTACATGAAACAATTTTCCCAATAACTGAATGTTCCGAAAATAAAAAAGTTCTTATTAGCCTCTGGCAGGACGTTCACCTGCAAGTCCAGGGTGGTCAACGGCACCAAATCTGTAATAGGAAAGGAGAAAACGTATGGCTGGACCGGGAATCGAACCAGGTACCCCTGCATCACTAGTCAGGTGCTCTACCGACTGAGCTACCCAGGCCGATATCCACTGCCCAAACCATTACACAAATATTGTTAACAAGCGTGTGTGTGTCGTTTGCTAACCCCCCCCCCCCCCCCGGTTTCGACTAAACCTATAAATCTACTTCTGTTATAAGCAATTTTTTTTTTAAATATCTTGTCACGTGTATGACATTTTCTTGATTTTCTTTACTTGAAATCGTAAAAAAAATGTGGTTATCTTAAATTCCTCTCTCAGCAAAAATGTGAATGTATATAACTTATATTTTCTCGTTTTGGGGGTTTTCGATCCCTGGTTATTAATTTAACCATTTTAAAAAAGTAATGGTAATAAACCTAATTCTTATATTTTTTGCATCCCAGACCGTATAGATTGTAAAGAAAACATGCATTTATATTGTCTAAAAACCTCTTTTCTAGGCGATGACTGGGGCTTATTTAGATAACATTTTCCTAGCAAAACGTTTCCATAAAATATTGTTGAATTTATAATTAAAATACATTGTTCTTTTTATTTTTACTACTGATTCTCTCCTCTGAATAAGACATTTATAAGTAGTATTTTAAACAGCGTAAAAGTAAAAAAAAAAACAGTCTGTTCTGTTACATTATGAAATTTTTTACCTTTGCCAAATTACGCGGATTTTTTATGACTGTGACGTAATACTAACAAGGTAGCTGACGTCATTAACACAGAATATTGAATTGTCCATGTGTTCGTTATTAAGCAATTTGTAAAATCATTACAATCAAAAATTATCTTTAGGCTATTGCTTATCATTAAAAGAATAATCACTGCATTTTGATACTTGTAAGCAAAAGTTCTGGCGTATCAACTGCACAAATTTGACACAGTTCTGGCAGTAAGAGGGTTAAACATGTGACTATGTTGGCCAATTCTAAAATGTTTTCACGTTCATGAAACCAATTTTTAAAAATAATGATGTCATGAACCCCCCCAACCCCCAACCCCCCCCCCCCTGCTTTTTGCTTGCGATTTATCGGCTCTTGAATAATGATACTATATATGAAAGAACTTATTTTCTTATTTATATAAAATCAAATTTTGTAAAAGAGGAAAAGGCTTTACAGATGACAGGTAAGAAAAAACTTGGATAAAGTCGAGACTGTACACATAAAAATATTTCCTGTATTTAGGCAAGTTTAATTTCGCCACTGATAGAATTTACTCTTTAATTCCTGAGGAAATAAAAAAGAAATTTTACTTGGAAATAAGATAAATAATAAAGCTAGAAAGCTGCCTGCTCTCATTTGTTGCATAATGCATGTACAAATACTTTTTTTTTAATACCGAGTATCTATTAAGAATTCAATCAGATGTTTTACATGTAATCTTCATGTACGTAAAAGACATTAGTAATTTAAATAATATATAAATTTGAATCTATGGTTACACTCATTTAAAAACAGTTAAATGACTGATAAGAAATAAAAGACAAGCATATTTTTCTGATAAATTAAAATGAAGAGCCAAATTTAGGAAATGTTTCTAAATTTACAGTAAAAACCGATCCCGATCCGATCGAAAATAATGCAAAATTAACAAATTTATCAAACTAAAGGCACCTGCCACCTATATAACATGTTAAAAAAATAAATCAAGTAAGTTTTTACTCATATTACAACAAAAGAGCCAAATTTAACATTACAATTATAGTATTTTTTTCTTTATATAATTCCGGTCGGGATCGGTTTCATTTGGGAAAATTATAAAAAAAAAAAAAAAAAAAAAAAAAAAAAAAAAAAAAAATTTGACTCCTTTTATTTCTTTCAATATACCTGTTCCCACTGATTTTATTGAGTGATTCAAAAGTTTGTACTTTGTATTCATAATAACATAAGAAAAAAAATCTGTCCTTGTAATGTATTGGGTTTTATAACGTAATGAAAATTGGATACTGAATTCAAAAAGTTACTTGCTTAACTCAAATTTGGACCATATAATTTTTTTCTAAAGAAGTATAAATTGGAGTCTTATTCATTAATAAAATAAAAGATAAGAGTCTATTCTATAAATAATATTCATCGACACATCCAGCTTTTTAGTATCTGTTACATATAAAACAAAATAAAAACGTAGTAATTTTTTTTACCCTTATGTTGACCTTTTTGCACTTAAAATTAAGCATTTACCAAAAATAGGACTAGAGGAGCACTAAAATTTTTTTAATGTTGTCATGTGTAAACACTTGCTTTAATAAGTCTACATGCAAAAAATAATTAAAATCCATGACATGCGATGTGCCACCCATTGCCTGGTTTTTCGGTGGACTGCCTCTTAATCAAAGTCATAAATTTTCAAAAGTAAGTCATGATGACCTACTTTTCAGTCAACCTACTCCGAAGACCCAAGATGCATCAACTGACAAATTTTGATGATTCTAAGCCAAATAATACCCGCAAATATTAAATACAGCCATAAAATTTCAAAAATAGGTCACTGTGACCTACTTTTCAGTTGTCATACTCTAAGGACCCAAGACGCATCAACTGACAAAGTTTGATGATCCTAAGTCAATTAGTACCTAAAATATTTAATTAAAGTCATAAATTTTCAAAAGTAGTTCACGGTGACCTACTTTTCAGTTATTTAATTAAAGCCATAAATTTTCAAAAGTAGGTCACAGTGACCTACTTTTCAGTCTACCTACTCTGAAGACCCAAGATGCATCAACTGACAAAGTTTGATGATTCTAAGCTAATAAGTACCTGAAATATTCAATTATAGTCATATAAATTGAAAAGTAGGTCACGGTGACCTACTTTCAGTTGTCGTTTTTTTGAGGACCCAAGATGCAACAACTTACAAAGTTTTAAGATCATGGGCCTTAAATGTCCAAATTATGCCTCTAAAATGCTTTGATATCAAATGCCTGCAAAGTTCAAAAAAAGTAGGTCACTGTGTTTTATGGCCTCAAGATGCATCATCTTACAAGATTTTTAAATGATTCTAAACCTCTCAGTATTTGAGAATTAATGACCTTAATTGTTTTGAAAAAGATTAGTCATAAAATTCAAAACGTAGGTCAAGGTGACCTACTTTTTAGTCGACATACTCCGAGGACCCAAGATACATCAGCTGACTAAGTTTGATGGTCATAGGCCTTAAATTGTTCAAAATATGCCTCTAAATCATTTTGAAAAAGAATGGCCGAAAAATTTAAAAAGTAAGTCACCGTGACCTACTTTTGAGTCAACATGATTTGAGGTCCTAAGACGCATCAACTGACAAGATTTGATGATCCTAGTCCTTATAGTAAGCAAAATATCAACATTTAAATAAAATGTAATTTTTGGTCAACTTTGAAGTGACCTTGAGACCACGCCCTTTGCCCCAGGGTAAATCCCTGTGCAAATTTTAATCTACAACATATCTTTATCCTTTTGAGTAAGTTTGGTAATAATCCGCTCAGTGGTTCTTGAGGAGGAGATTTCTTAGCAACCAGTACTATTGTTTCTATTTTCCTAATTATCTCCCCTTGTTTAAGGGTCACAACCCTAGTTTTAGTAAAACGGGAGCCCTCAGGCCAAGGAACCCTGTGACAAATTTAACAATAATTGGCCGAGGGGTTCTTGAGTTATGGCCCATATTCTAATAAAGTGCCCCGAGTCGCCCGCGTGGCGCAGTGGTTAGAGCGTCTGCTCTAGAGTCGCGAAGTAAGGAGTTGATCCTTACGTCGCGGGTTCGAATCCCACTGTGGGACGTGGAGACCGGTCCTTCGGATGAGACCGTATAAACCGAGGTCCCGTGTCGCAGTAGGTGCTGGCACGAAAAAGATCCCTCACTGCTCAATGGCCGTAAGTGCCGAGTATAGGACAAAATTTGCAGCTCTCCACCGGCAAATGGTGGCGTCTCCATATGAGTGAAAAATTCTCGAGAGGGACGTTAAACAACATACAATCAATCAATAAAGTGCCCCGCCACAGCATGATACGCCCATCAAATATTGTTCAATTATCAAAAACAGTTTAGAGTGCAAGAAAATCTTGTCAACCTTGATACCCGTACAAGGATTTCCATGATTTTTCCATTCCTTATAATATTTGTTTATACATCTCCTGTGGTGTACGCATTAATTTTAACAAATATTACATTATAGATCCTCAACTGGTTGTGTTAGAGCTTGACAAATGCCCATCTGCAAGATTCATCAGCTGACAAAGTTTGATAACTCTAGGCCTAATAGTATTAAAGTTATGAGCCGGACACGAAAAAGCTAACAGACGGACGGACGTAATACGTCCCGTCTTAAGACAGGCGTATAAAAAGTTACGCACATCGCACAAGTGGCCATAGCATTAGCTCTTTGAGCCTTTTAAACCCCTGAGCCTTTTAAACCATCTGACGTCACAAATTATTTCATTAAAAATCAAATATGGAATGCCTTTTCTGTGTCATGGATTTATATAATCTGGACTTAATTAGAATATCTTGATTTACATGTATATACCATGTTACAATCACATTTATCAAAGCTACAAAACTTCATACATACACAGTCAACAAAAAGAATAGAGTTACGAAGTTAATTTTCAAATTCGATTTGATAATAGAAATTTATATTTACATGTGGATGTACATTTTCAAAATCTTAAACCCATGATGTTTTTCCCTATCATATAATGGAAGATATCTATTACACATTCTGAAAATCCCAATACCAAAATACAAGTATATATGTATATAAAATAATAATTTCACACAGGAACTGATTACTCATCATTTATGCACATACATGTATCTACATTTACCATTAACATCACACACTAATACACATGAAAAAAAAAAATCACAAAAATGATTTGATCGGGACAATCAATATTTAAATATCATTGAAATAAATACTAAATAGAATGCTCCAATAAATTATCAGCACAAATATGTCCATCAAGACCAGGTACACATAATTAATTTGAAAAAAATCTAAAGGGAATAAATTCTATCCAAAAAATCACAGTCCATCATTTATCAAGCTTCAACAATAAGCAAAAAAACAATAATTAGAATTGTGCAGTGTGGATTTTTTTTGGTCCCTTACATGGGAACAAGAGCAGACAACTCTAAAGGTCTATACATGTCACAGCACCAGAGAGAGTCTTTGTATCCACACGAAACTTCCCCTTGGTTTTTACTGATTCCTGAAAATAAAAAAAAAAGACAAACATATTTCATGGGCAGAATAGCCAGGGCATTTTGAACATAAAACTTTAGAGGGATGTACATGTAAATGAAATGGTATAATAATGGTATAATAATTACTGGTAAGCAGCAATACTTTCAATTCTAAGAAGTTTGCACAGTGTACTTACCCTTTGTATTTGAATTTTCATCATTTCTTCCTTTAACTTTTGTAAGAGAGGTTCATTTGGTTTCTTTGAGCGGACTTGGGACTGCAATCCAGTTATGGCATGTTCCTCTTTCTACAAAACACACCAAGTTGTAAATGAAATTTTTCAAAGTCTTAGCCAATATTTCTAATGCCCTGTTCACACGGAGAGTTTAATTCGCAGTAAATTAATTCAAAGTAAACTAATGCGAATTAAACTAATGCGAATTAGATTGCGTTCACACGAGAGCTACTGCGAAGTAAACTAATGCGAATTAAAATTATATTTCTACAGTAAGGCTATTCTGTAAGCCTATTATGACGTCATTTTCAAATCACGTCACATTGTGCAGAGCAGGTACATTTTACATAATGTCATAATGTCTGTACACATTTTATTGATTAACATAATTTTCTTTGGTTTTCCACTCAAAAATAGCACAAGTTCCTATATCTGACCACCGACAAGTGGTCTTTGACTTAATTCTGCCCTTACGCATGCGTCAAAATTTAATTCGAATTAGCTTCGCTTAGCGTTCACACGGAGCTAATGCAAAGTAATTTAATGCGCAGTAAATTAATTCGAATTAAACTAATTCACATTAAATTCTCCATGTGAACGCGGTTCAAATTTAATTCGCAGTAACTTACGTTTAATTCAAATTAAACTCTCCGTGTGAACAGGGCATTAGTATAACATCATCATTCTCAAGCAATTGGTAACATAATTCATAGACTACATATACAACCTTCATTTAACTTTTATTTTCAAAAATCAATTATTTACTAGCATATTAAACATCTAAAATGAGAATAAATTACATGTAGGAATGCCAGCAAACCAGAAAATGAAAATTTCCAAGAATTTAAAATAATTAATAATGAATTGTCAGAGTATCTGACGAAAATCGCTCAAGTTTTTGCCAACACAATAATAAACACAAAAGAAAAAATGAAACTTTTTGGGCCAAAAGTACGATGAGGAATTCTTTTAATAGAGAAATTATTTTTCTCCTTTAATAATTAATTTTTTGGAAATGATTTATGCAGATTATCTGCAATATTCCAGTAAGATCTGGAGAGACTGATGATCATGTTCACACAATGGCTATTATATAGTATACATTCCTGTTAAAATACACCTCTCTTTCAAAAATGTGTTTCCTAATTGAAAAACAGATGTACCGACCAGTGAAAGTACATGAATTTCTTGATAAATATACTAAAAGGAAAAAGAAACACATATATTTGATTGATCTACAACATCATGGTTAAAATAGTTTTGAATTTATTTGAGCTTTAAATAATGTCCAGCAATCGATAAGTGATACAAAATCATTCAACCGTGACTCTAGCTGACTCGACGTGAGCACGAGTAGTTTGCATATGAGCTTCCAGAGGAAAGCCACATGGCTGGAATTCTGGCTATGTCAAACTAGTTTTTGAATTTCTGAAAATGTCAGGAGAGAATTTGTACAGATTTTGACCTTGAAAAATGCCATGCCTAACTGAACTTCAAAGAGGTTAAGTAATTGCTTTACTTATACAGGGACATCATCAGAATGAAATTGATAGGGATTTTATGTGTCATACTACTGTATTATGGCTTAAGTGAGGACTCATGTTAGCAGGAAGAATTATAAACTGTCCAAGAAGTGGTTATCCTCGGTTGACAACTGAACGTTAGGACAGAGAGAACCATTCTATCCATCTTCAGAACAGGTTTCAAACTGCAAGTGACACTGCTGCTAGCATTCTTGGACGTAACAATGCCAGAATTAGTGAGAAAACTGTAAGCAATAGGCTCAAGAAGGCAGGTCTTAAAGTGCAAAGGTCATACAAAGGTTTGCTGTTAACACTGAATCCAAGGGATGTGTGGCTAGACTTGTCACAGACATTGTCAAAACTGGTTCACAATGCTACAATGGAGGACTTTTTTATGCAGTTATGAATCAAGGTTTACACTTTTTCAAGCAGATGGGAGAAAAAGAGTGTATCGACGTAGATGCAAATGGCCTGTGTAATATATATGGAACTTGACAGTTTTGGTGGTTCTATCACGATTTTTGGCCAAACCACTATTGTTAAAATCAATGGATCTTTAACAGTGTTTACAATACCAATACATCATTTTTTTTAACCACACATTCTCCTGTTTTTGAGCCAAAACAATAGCAGGACAATGCTTGGTCGCAAGTTCCAAGAGTATGATTTTCTTGAGACCAACAAATTATAGGCACTAGAGTGGCCCCATATAGCCTGACTCATCTCCAATTAAGCATTTATGGGCCGAGATGGACTGATGAATTAGAGTTAGAAATCCATTTCTTTACACCACCAATGAGCCGAGGCAAGCCCTTACAGAACTTAGAAGAGTGGAATAACATCCCTATGAAAAGAATCAACCAGCTGATCAATTCCATGCACAAGAGAGTATGAACTGCAGTAAAGGAGGAGAACAAAAGATATACAGTGGCGCCGCGTTTATCCAGACGCCATTTATCCGGACGCTTCACCATCCGGACGATATTTTTTGGGAACCGATTTTTTCCACGTTATTTTGTCTCATTAATCTGGAAATTCGCGTTCCGTATCCGGACGGTCAATTTCTACTACAAAACGTAATAGTTCATTGAAAAATGACTCGTTTATCCGGACGGTAATTTTTCAAGAAACGACTTTTTCACACTTCGCTTGCATTCGTGTTAATTGTTGTAAAAACATTGGCCATGCAGTCAGTTTGAAGACGGTTACATGTGACCTACAAACAATAGCGTCTATAATTAGCGTGTGTTTACCCTAATTCAATCACACGTTTATCTTTAATATTTAGCTTACACTGTGCATTAATTAAATAATAATCTGTTCAAAATCATATTGCTAACCGTATGTACATCAGTAAATTCATGAGAATTTTGGAGAGTTGTAAATAAAATGAACAATAAAAAACGAGCGATTTCTTAATGCTCTTTATCATGTTGATTGCGTTAGTTTTAAATACTGTTTTCCATTTCTAAAAACGTAAATGTATTTGAAACGCTTTTTTCCCCACAAAACAGTTTAGAAAGGTACATAACTGAAGAAATATCTCTATTTAATGTACTACCGTTTACAAACGTCCATTGCTTTAGAAAAGATATATAAAACTGGCGTTATGTACAGAAGTTAATTACGTTTATCAAGGTATTTTTAATGATCGAAATTCAAACTTAGCGTCTGTAGAAAAAAATATTGATAATCATGAAGATGACTTGTGTTTACGAATGTTTTTAATACTTTGTTTGAGTAAGCTTGCAGTTAATTTTATAGTAACCCTGTGTAATGAATATACGGGGTTAGTTTATATTTGAACATTTTTAATGATGATGCTGAACAGTTCTGTCATATCATATGAGCTTCAATAATTATAATATATGGCTAAATAAAACAACTGTAGATCAAAATTTGCTCAGCCCATGAAGTCACAGGCCAAAGAATTAAAATAGGAGGTCTGCATAAAATTGCCCATCCATTTTTTTTTATTGTGTAAATTACATCTTAATATATTTTTTTCTTTAATCAGTTACTGCTTTTAAAACAATAAACCAAAATATAATTTAAAAGTTTTTTTCTTTGCTGTCACATTTGAAACAAGAATGTGCATATATACAATGTACATGCTTAGAGAGTGCTTTTTGAGATGTGATTCAATTATCCGGACGATTCATTTATCCGGACGATTTCGTTGGGGACAGAGGCGTCCGGATAAACGAGGCGCCACTGTATAACTTTCCAAATTTTGAATTTTAAAATTCTGACCCTACTCCCTAAAAGTCAATAATTGTACAGTTAAAATGTCCTTTAATTTGATAATCTGCCTTGATTTATGACAATTGTAAGTTAAATATTACATAAAATTATATTTGGCTCTCATTGTGCTGCACAGTAAATATAGTTTCTTTTATCATTTAGTTATGCATTTCTTTTTCCTTTCACTATATGTTAACATGCATTTATTCATTTCAATGTCCCAGATCAGACACTTTAAACTCTTCAGGCCAATCTATGGCAAGGATACTGGTACATACAGTCAATTTTGTTATCTCAAACTAGATGGGACTGAAAAACAAGAGGCCATGAGCCACAAAGCTCACCCAAGTAATTTTAGCCTTGCTGAATTTGCAAATTATTGGTTCTACTGTGATTTTTATGAGGAGGTTTGAAAATTTTCTCATATAGTTCGATGTAAAACATTAATCTCTTATTGTGTCCCCCGAGGGCCATGATTTGAACAATTTAAAATCTACATCATGTCAGGAAGCTTTCAAAAAGTTTCATTTTTCTTGTACAGTTGTTCTTAAGAAGATTTTTAAAGATTTGTTCCAATATATTCGAATGTTAAACATTGATCCCCTGTTGTGGCCACATCCTAACTCTGGGGGCCAAGATTTGAACAATTTAGAATCTATCTGGAAGCTTTCACATAAGTATTCATGATTTGAAATAAAACTTGAATCTGCACTACCTGAGGATGCTTCCATATAACAATATAAATATGACTTATCAGGACTTTGCTGTTCTTGAAAAGAAGATTTTTAAGATTTTTTCCTTTATATTCCTATGTAAAACTTTGATCGCCTATTGTGCACAATAGACAGATGGACAGACAGATAGACACACTTTTAGATCAGAAAAGCTCACTTAATTGAACCTGTACCTCTGGTACGCTGAAAAGTGCTTTGGACTTCCAAATCACTTCCACATATCCATGGTATTCTAGATATCGATGTTCACATACTAAAGATCAACTGTACATGTAATTACAAAATACCTTTACACTACAAAGTAACAAACACATTAGTGACATTAAAATACACTGACCTTTTTCTCCTTGACACTTTTCCAAGAAGACCTTCCATACAACCTCAATAGAGCACCAAGACTGTAGATATGTGGGTGAAGTTGCTGTAAAGAAAAAAATATCAATTAACACACATTTACAAAACTAGAAAATGTTTCTAATTATGTTCTTTTTCTAAATCTGTTCTTATAAAAAAAAAAAGGAATGTTTAAAGAAAAATATATCCCCTACCTTCTATGGGAATTTTAACTTCAATTTTAGAATGTCGGTAATGAAAGTGAAATGAATTGGCCATCTTCTAGTCAGGGCAAATATAACAGTAATTTTGATCTCTATTAGGCCTGAATATCATTTGGGGGTAATATACTTCTTAGAGTGTACCAAAATTAATGTCTGTAAATCAAAAGGTTCTCAAGAAACTGAGCTGACAATATCTTCCTATGTCTAGTGTCTATGTTGTTTAACCCCCCCCCCCCCCCTTAACCTATGAGCTTGTGACATCAAAAATCAACAGGCATAATCTTCTCCAAAGGGGGAATCAGTCTACCAAATTTGATGACTGTCAAGCAAAGGGTTGTTAAGATACTGAGCAGTCAATATCTTCCTATGTCCAGTTTGACCCTTGACCTTTGATCTTGGAACCTCAAAACCAATAGAAGTTACATTCTCCTTAAGGGGAACCAATGTACCAAGTTTGATGCTTGCCAAGCAAAGTGTTCTCAATATATTGAGCAAAGAATGTCTAGAGTAGTTTGACCCTTTACCTTCTGATCTCAAAACCTGTAGTGGCCAACTACTTCTAAGGAAAAACCAGTGTACCAAGTTTTGATGTCTGTCTAGTAAGGGGTTCTCAAGATATAGAGTGGTGAATATTTTCCTCTGTTTACTTTGACCCTTGACCCTATGACCTAATATACAATTAATTACCCCTTTTGAGGTCAACATAGTGAAATAAGGACCTGAGACCTGGCCCATAAGGTGACCTGGCCTGACCAAGGCTGTGTAGATATTGAGTGGTCAATATATTCCTATGTTCAGTTTTACCCTTGACCTTTGACCTCAAAATCTATTGTGTTCATCTAATCAGTGTACTAAGTTTTGGTGTCTTCTAGTAAAGGGTTCTAAAATTATTGAGGGGTCAATAACTTTGCATGTTCCATTTGACCCCTGACTTTGACAAATCTGACCCTTGACCAAATCTTGTGATCTCAAAATCAATAGAAGTCACCTAGTCCTTAACGGGAACCAATGTACCAAGTTTGATGTCCGTCAAGGAACTGGTTTTCAAGATATTGAACAGGCAAGATCGTCCTATGTCTAGAGTACTGTGACCATTGAATTTGTGACTTCAAAATAAGTGGAGGTAATCTACTCTTCAGTGGGTACCAGTATATCAAGTTTGATTCTGTCAAGCAAAGAGTTCTCAAAATACTGAAGCAGACAACACTTGGTTTACCGACATACCAACTGACCATCAGGTGCAAAGCAATATGCTCCATTTTTCTAGGGGGCATAAAAATTAAGAAGACAATTGTTCTTTATAAAGAAACATACAAAGCTGCAATAATGTATCCCTCCCTAATTTCTTCCTTGAAAATGTCAGTTAAAAACTATCAGGCAAGATTACATAATTTCAGATAGAACATATTCCTCAAATGAATTAACTGAATACATATACATAAAATTTCAATAAACTGAAGTTTGGAAAAGTGGTACTTGGAGTAATATTAAATCCAAGACACTTACCTTTAACATAGCTTGAGCAGCACTCTGCTTGCCTTCTCTTTTATTTTTACACACAACCTGGAAGAAAAGCAAATGCATATATGTCTAGTACTTAAGACAAATGCTCTGAACAAATAAGAAAAGACTTTTCATTACCGTAACAGAGTGTTTTCCGACAGTTAGAGTGTATTCACTCTTCTGGTGCTTCAAAGTTTTGACATCTATTTTACACTGTGTATCACCTAAGCCATAATTCCTAGTAAAAAGAATTCATTTTCAAATTATTCAAATTCTATTTTCAAACATAGGTAATCAAAGATTACGAAGCTCACCTCGACGAATGTTATCTACATCTAAGGCAAATTTCACATCATATTTTTTTCTAGTTAGGGTACATCCCAAGATCAATATCCATGCAAGTTTGATTTAATTATAGACCTGCTCAAAAAACTTTTGACCTGTTTAGTAATCAAGAAAATTTTGGTCAGGTCCAACATCCAAAGCAAGTCTGGAAGTTTTCATCCTTAGATGCACCATCTATGCAAGTTTAATCATAACAGGCCATAATATTATACAGCTGCTCCAAAAAAATTACCCTGGTCACTCACCTGGAAAATGTACGTCAGATTCAGAATCCAAGGCAAGTCTGGAAGTGTCCATCCCTAGATACATCATCCATGCTAATTTGGTTAAAATATGGCTAAAATTCACTCATGTGGAAAATCTAGGTCAGATCCAGCATTCGAAGCAGGTTGGTTAGTGTACATCCCTAGATGCATCATCCATGAAAGTTTGGTCCAGGTAGGGCTTATAGTTACTTGGGAACGAGACTACTCCTAAATCTAAACCTGGTCTCACATGTGGAAAATCTAGGTCAGATCCAGCATCCAAAGCAAGTGTGTTAGTGTCCATCCCTGGATGCATCATCCATGCAAGTTTGGTCCAGGTAGGGCTTATAGTTACTTGGGAATGGACCTGCTCCTAAAACTTTAACCTGGTCACTCATCTGGAAAATCTAGGTCAGATCCAGCATCCAAAGCAAGTGTGGTAGTGTCCATCCCTAGATGCATCATCCATGAAAGTTTGGACAAGGTAGGGCTTATAGTTACTTGGGAATGGACCTGCTCCTAAAACTTTAACCTGGTCACTCATCTGGAAAATCTAGGTCAGATCCAGCATCCGAAGCAAGTGTGGTAGTGTTCATCCCTAGATGCATCATCCATGCAAGTTTGGTCCAGGTAGGGCTTATAGTTACTTGGGAATGGACCTGCTCCTAAAACTTTAACCTGGTCACTCATCTGGAAAATCTAGGTCAGATCCAGCATCCAAAGCAAGTGTGGTAGTGTCCATCCCTAGATGCATCATCCATGCAAGTTTGGTCCAGGTAGGGCTTATAGTTATTTGGGAATGGACCTGCTCCTAAAACTTTAACCTGGTCACTCATCTGGAAAATCTAGGTCAGATCCAGCATCCAAAGCAAGTGTGGTAGTGTCCATCCCTAGATGCATCATCCATGCAAGTTTGGTCCAGGAAGGGCTTATAGTTACTTGGGAATGGACCTGCTCCTAAAACTTTAACCTGGTCACTCATCCGGAAAATCTAGGTCAGATCCAGCATCCGAAGTAAGTGTGGCCATGTCCATCCCTGGATGCATCATCCATGCAAGTTTGGTCAAGGTAGGGCTTATAGTTACTTGGGAATGGACCTGCTCCTAAAACTTTAACCTGGTCACTCATCTGGAAAATCTAGGTCAGATCCAGCGTCCGAAGCAAGTGTGGTAGTGTCTATCCCTAGATGCATCATCCATGCAAGTTTGGTCCAAGTAGGGCTTATAGTTACTTTGGAATGGGACTTGCTCCTAAAACTTTAACCTGGGACGCCGACGCCAACGTTAACGCCGACGCCGGGGGTATAGCATAAGCTCATCTTGACTTCGTCGAGGTGAGCTAAACAAGAGGCCCATGGGCCACATCACTCACCTGAGCATACTGGCTACTGACTACCTGATGATGCTTTCATGTCAATATAACAAATGAATTTGTTGTACTTGAGACGATTTTAAAAGAATTTTCCCATTTATTCCTTTGTAAAAATTTGATCCCCCATTGTAGCACCTCCCTATCTCAGGGGTCATCATTTGAACAAACTTGAATCTACATTACCCGAGGATGCTTCCATATCAATAAGACTAACATAGCTTTTCTGTTCTTGAGAAGAAATTTTTTTTACTATATGTTCTTATGTAAAACTTTCGATCCCCCATTGGGCCCCACCCCACCCCCGGGGGTCATCATTTGAACAAAATTGAATCTACACGACCTGAGGATGCTTCCATATAAATTTGACTCTTCATGGCTTTACTGTTCTTGAGAAGAAGATTTTTAAAGATTTTTCCTATATATTTCTAAGTAAAATTTGGATCCTCCATTGTGGCCCCGCCCTACCCCCGGGGGTCATGATTTGAACAAATTGAATCTACACTACCTGGGGATGCTTCCATATAAATATGACTCATCATGGCTTTTCTGTTCTTGAGAAGAAGATTTTTAAAGATTTTTCCTATATATTTCTATGTAAAACTTTGATCCTCCATTGTGGCCCCGCCCTACCCCCGGGGGTCATGATTTGAACAAACTTGAATCTACACTACCTGAGGATGCTTCCATATAAATATGACTCTTCATGGCTTTACTGTTCTTGAGAAGAAGATTTTTAAAGATTTTCCTATATATTTCTATGTAAAACTTTGATCCTCCATTGTGGCCCCGCCCTACCCCCGGGGGTCATGATTTGAACAAACTTGAATCTACACTACCTGAGGATGCTTCCATATAAATATGACTCTTCATGGCTTTACTGTTCTTGAGAAGAAGATTTTTAAAGATTTTTCCTATATATTTCTATGTAAAACTTTGATCCTCCATTGTGGCCCCGCCCTACCCCCGGGGGTCATGATTTGAACAAACTTGAATCTACACTACCTGGGAATGCTTCCATATAAATATGACTCATCATGGCTTTACTGTTCTTGAGAAGAAGATTTTTAAAGATTTTCCTATATATTTCTATGTAAAACTTTGATCCTCCATTGTGGCCCCGCCCTACCCCCGGGGGTCATGATTTGAACAAACTTGAATCTACACTACCTGGGGATGCTTCCATATGAGTTTCATTTTTCCTGGCCCTGTGGTTCTTGAGAAGAAGATTTTTTAAAGATGCTATTCATTTTTCACTAATTCTTAATTATCTCCCCTTGAAAGAGGGCGTGGCCCTTCATTTGAACAAACTTGAATCCTCTTCACCCAAGGATGCTTTGTGGCAAGTTTGGTTGAAATTGGCCCAGTGGTTCTGGAGAAGAAGTCGAAAATGTGAAAAGTTTACAGACAGACGGACAGACGGACTACAGACAAAATGTGATCAGAAAAGCTCACTTGAGCTTTCAGCTCAGGTGAGCTAAAAATGGTATTATGCAAATAGGAAACAGATTCATGATTATCAAGATTTGCAAATACATGTACATTGTATTAATTTTATAAAGAAAGCCACAGACCTCTTGAGACACTCCAGTAATATCTGAAATGGACTAGGTTGACCTGATTTATTGCACAACTCGTAAACCCTGGGGTCCTCAATTTTAATATCATCGAAAAACTAAAAGAGAAAATTGTAAAATTAAATTTTTCCCATCAAATTACACAGGATAAGCATGTCAATAAATCATTAATTGAATGTACATGATGTGAAGGCACACGTACCGAGAGATCCTCCTCCTCCTCCACTTGTTTCTCTATTAACTTGGACATTTCTGGAATCAGGATACTCAGCGTAGCTTTAGCTGCAAAATCACAAACATTACTTTAAAATTCTATACACTGTACATCCTTATATAAATGATGGCCTATTGACCATGAACTCCTTTACTAGCCGTATCATCAACTCACACACCTGCTTCCATTTTAGCTGCCCTTTTGCTGCCAGCAAATCCTGTACCATACTCAATCTCATTTATGATAATTGTAGCACTGTAAGGATTCTGGGCATTTTCTGCAATTAAAAAGAATCAAAATGTTTGTCTACATTCAGTTCAATTCATTCAGTTAAAATATTCCTTTTTCATTCTCAACTAGAACATTTCAAATCACGCTATCAAACATTAACATGTCTCAAAACCTGTTTTCCTTGGTTATACATTGTTATAGATGAACAAATAATGAATCAGAACTTTTGCAGATGGAAGTATTTTTTTATGCATGGTTTTGACTTTGGGTACTTACCAAGCTCTTTGAAAACATAACGAGGTTGCACTCTCAGTGTATGCTGAGCATATTCATGCAGAATACAAACATAGGATTTCCCTGTTGGATTCAATACAAACTCTGAAACACAAATGGAATACATGTACATGGATATGAAGACACAAAATGATGGACTTGTTTCACTCGATTCCTTTTTATTTCTTTTACCTTTCTTCCTTGGTTTATGGTCTCCTTTTTCTGCTGGGACTTTACAAGTAATCAGTTTGGTGTTGGAGGGCTTAAAAAAGATATACAAATATAGGCCTACTACTCAAATATACAGATAAATTTACAAATAAATATGTCCTGAAAATGAGCACCTCATGGGTTTCTCTTTTTTCTATCCAATACACAACAACATTGGACAGCCAATTAAATGCAAAATTTCTCAGTAAGCATATCTTCCACAAAGTAGAATATTTAATTTTTGCCTGGGGGATGATAGGGTACAATATAATGATTTGATAAGCCTTGTAAATCTACTTACTAGTGCTGGTCGGGACTGTTTTTTAACATTGTTCAAATGTCTTCTCCTGTCCTTCCATGTTCTAAAATATTAATAATAAACAATCTTCAATAAGAGTTCATCACAAAGTATAAAGATTCTTAGCAGTGTAGACAGAGAAGTAACCACAGTTTATTCTAAAAGCATTGAAAATTTGATTCTATCTGTTTGCTTCACTAAATAATATGGATTTTTAAGGTATTAGAGGTGTAACAAGCCATTTCCGGTAAAAATGACGGCATTTACCGAGGTGTCTGACATCGGCAGTTTTCGGAACACTGTACTTTGTAAACAAAAATGGCGTGTCGTCAAGACGGCCTAGGACGCTAACATAAAACATACACTAAAGAAAAGGAATATAACTTAGCGGAGGAGAGAATAAATATGATATTATGTAGAAAACATGTTAATATATTTTGTTAGACAAAATATGCAGTCAAAACGATGATACCTTCAAATACACACTTCATGGGTTTTTCCAACTTCTAAAAATAGCACCATTTTCGAAGAACGAACGAAGTAGGTGCCTATACCTTTCTTGAAAACTTTACATGCACATCGCGATTTCTTGTGATTCTCTCAATATCAGCAAACTGTTTGAGGGGAAAAAATGTATGTAATAGGTAGCATTGCGTGCATTGTAGAATCTGCAATTTATAAGTGACATCCAAATTCCATACGTAAAATATCTGAGATGTTCAAAATATATCAGTAAAAATAGAATGTAAATATGTTTACAACATTAAAGAAAAAAAAATTAATATTAGATATGGGAATAAATGATTTATTCTGGGTTGGGTTAGGGTGATTTTTGTTATTTTATTTACATTAATTAATTTATTTATTTTTACACAAGTTTACTGTTTAGAAGGGGGGGGGGGGGGGGGGAGGGGGTCGAATATTTTTTTATTGATATTTTTTATATACATGTGGGGAACAAATTAGATTTTTTTTACCTTTTGATTAGTGTTTCTGTCAGTATATATTTTAGTCTACATTGTATAGTAATGTTTTGATCTGTAAAGAACTTCATGCACATGGAAGCTGCAAAAATGTAGGTCATTTTGCAAATCTTTGTCTGGGTCAAGGTCACTGTGACGAGGTCAATCTTCTGAACAAATGAATCTGACTAAAGTGAAGTGTATTCAATATGACAATAACCTGTTGTTTATATATGCTCATCATTTCATTAATTATCACATATCCCATGACATTTACAAAAAATAATGGCTTAAATTTTTAGGGGTACATTGCTATGATACAGAATATAGATAAATATTGTGGATGGAATAATTTTTTTTTTTTGTTATATTATCACAAACACACCTTACACAAAATTGATATTGTTTTTTTTATTGATCTTTCCTACCATATTTTTCTTTGACAGAATATTACAAACGGTTTTATGAAAAAAATCGCCAAAATTGTCACTCAAAGAAGACAAGTTCTCTCGATTACAAGTATTCATATATCATACCTGATGAATTTGAACTAAAAAGAATGCATATATGCAATCTGTACTGCTTAGTGTTGCAGCTGAATACATGAAACATTCAACTGTTTGCGACTAACTAGAGTAGAGGTAAAAATTACATCTGTACCTTTTGTCTATTAAAGGTGCACCAGTGGTTAGAGGGTACAGGCATGAAAATAAGTATAGAAAAATTATGTTTGGACAGAATTGCATGAAACTTTGGGAAATACTGCCTGAAGTGTTGTCCATTATAACTAAATTGAATTTAGTCATATTAAAGGTCATGACCATTACACCCCTAATACCTTAAACATAGATATGAAAGATATTTACAGATATAGATAGATATAGACATTTATTATTCCAACAAACTTACTTGAACTTATTGACAGTGATTTTTCTAAATTCAAACAGAGATTCACAGTATTTTCTCAATTCTTCAGGCTCTGTAAAATATGGAAACAGTAAGTGGCAAAAGTGCTGAGAATGGATTTCGTAGAATTAATTTTATTCCATATGCATAATTTAATCATTTGCTTTTTGAAGAAATTTTTGTACATTTTTTATTATATTGTATCTTCTTCAGCATTCTCTAATCTACATGTATCTTCTAAAACACTTATTGGTATAGAGAAATATCAAGATTTTTTAAAATTTAATTTTGTATGTACACCACAGTTAAACTTGTCTAATCTGAATGTGTGTGTATATTACCTAGGGAGTTTTCTTTCTCTCTCTCCTCTGCGTACTCTATCTTGACAGGAAGGCTGGCCAGTGTCGGCTGTGAAGTATCAACAGGCTGCTTCTCTCCACCATTCTCTGCGTCTGAAATGTTGTTGCATACAAAATGCAAGAAGGACTCTATATGGATACAGATATATTGATTCTCTAAATTGCATTTAGTGATTGTTTACTGGTATATTCATGCAGAATCAGTACCGTAATTATACAATTGAGGGACATAGGGATTAATTTAACCAATTCACTAGAACTCAAATCTCACATATAATACGTGTAGAGTAAAATATGGTTATAGCAAACATGCTATGAATTCACGCTTACAGCAAAGTGATTTTCATTCCCTGTGGTTATAAAACATTTTGAATTTAACAGATACAATGAACAAGAGGCCCATGGGCCACATTGCTCACCTGAGCTAGGCAAAAGCACAAATCAGTTCAGTATTGAAAAGATTAGGGGGGCTTGAATTTTAAACTACCTTCCATGTCAATTTAACAAATGGCTTTGTTGCACTTGAAAAGCTTTAAAAAAAAATTTCCCATATATTCCTTTGTAAAAATTTGATCCTCCATTGTGGCCCTGCCCTACCCATGGGTCATCATTTGAACAAACTTGAATCTACACTATCTGAGGATGCTTCCATATCAATATGACTAAACATAGTTTTTCTGTTCTTGAGAAGAAATATTTTTTTCTATATGTTCTTATGTAAAACTTTCGATCCCCCATTGGGTCCCACCCTACTCCAGCAAAGACAGATCCAGGGCCAGTGTGCCGGGCATGCTCCCCCCGTTTGAATTTTTTTTTCATGTAGAACTTATATGTCCATTATCCTAAAATCAAGGAAAAACATCTCTTCTTTGTAAGAATTTGTCAGCTTCCCAGACCCCCACCAAGGCCTTGCTCTAGATCCACTTGGGCTTCAATGCAGCCCCGAGACCCACTGCCTCTACTCCCCCCCCCCCTCCCCTGGATCCGCCACTGCCCCCAGGGCATTTGAACAAAATTGAATTTACACTACCTGAGTATGCTTCTGTATATCAAAATGACTAAACATGATTTTCAGTTCTTCATCAGAAGATATTTAATTTTCCTATATGTTCCTCTGTAAAATTTTCAATCCCCCATTTGGCCCCACCCTACCCCGGGGTCATCATTTTAACAAAGTTTAATTTACACTACCTGAGGGTGCTTCCATATCAAAATGACTTATCATGGCTTTGCAGTTCTTCAGAAGAAGATATTTTCCTATATATTTCTATTTAAGACTTTGATCTTCCATTGTGGCCCCACTCTACCCCCCGGTAGTCATGATTTGAACAAAATAGAATTTACACTACCTGAGGATGCTTCCACATAAATATGACCAATCAGGGCTTTGCCGTTCCTGAGAAGAAGATTTTTAAAAGATTTTTCCTTTATATTTCTATGTAAAACTTTGATCCTCCATTGTGGCCCCGCCCTACCCCCGGGGGTCATGATTTGAACAAACTTGAATTCACACTACCTGAGGATGCTTCCATATAAATATGACTCATCATGGCTTTGCTGTTCTTGAGAAGAAGATTTTTAAAGATTTCTCCTATATATTTCTATGTAAAACTTTGATCCTCCATTGTGGCCCCGCCCTACCCCCGGGGTTCATGATTTGAACAAACTTGAATCTACACTACCTGAGGATGCTTCCATGTAAATATGACTCATCATGGCTTTGCTGTTCTTAAGAAGAAGATTTTTAAAGGTTTTTCCTATATATTTCTATGTAAAACTTTGATCCTCCATTGTGGCCCCGCCCTACCCTCGGGTGTTATGGTTTGAACTAACTTGAATCTACACTACCTGAGGATGCTTCCACATGAGTTTCATCTTTCCTGGCCCTGTGGTTCTTGAGAAGAAGATTTTTAAAACATGCTATTTATTTTTCACCAATTCTCTATTATCTCCCCTTGAAAGAGGGTGTGGCCCTTCATTTGAACAAACTTTAATCCCTTTCACCCATAGATGCTTTGTGACAAGTTTGGTTGAAATCGGCCCAGTGGTTCTTGATAAGAAGATGAAAATGTGAAAAGTTTACAACACTGCCGCCACCGACAACGACAGACAACCGACAAATTTCGATCAGAAAAGCTCACTTGAGCCTTCGGCTCAGGTGAGCTAATAAGGTCCTGACACTTTGCTATCGTGTTTAACTGTATATATATTTTCATGTATTTTTGACTTGAGAAAATGAAATGCAATTAAGTCTATCTTACTATGACTTTCCCCATTACACACAATTTCCTTTGTATTTGTGGTAGCAGCCTCCTTGCCTGCCTTCTGTTTTGCTTCTCTCTCTTTCTCCCTTCTGTAGTATAAACATGGAATGCCACTCACAGGAATGTTGTGTTTCTGATGAAATAAACATAGATTTTAACAATGCCTTGTTCAGTACACATTATCTGAAGAAATTATTTTTGAACATATATACACTCACGGTGACTGTGTAAACATGCATATACTATGCAAAAATACATACAACTTATAGCGTTTGAGACTCAATTCAATGCTTACCCTGACACTTCCTGGCCCTATAAAGTAAGGCTTGGAAAATGTCACCACTCTGGACTGTTTGTGAAGATACACCGGCATACCACTGTTATGTGTGACCAGCACCCAACCCTCGGGTAGCATGTCAAAAGGATCACTCCCTTTCTCTGCAAAATTAAAGATATGACATCCCGATGTCTTACAATGTAACGGGGATGTATAATATCCCTATTTAAAGAATAATTATATAGAATTATGCTGTATTTTGAAAACACTAGATTTTAAGGATGCACCCTGCTTTGACCTTTTATGTGAGAGAATGTATTCTCCAGAATTGACAGACAAATGATTTACACTGTGATCACTATATGTATGCCAATGTATTCAGACACAAAGAGGAGGACATTACTTAAAATAGAAATTGTGAAGGTAAACAACATGACAGAAATCATTTCATATTGAATGTACACAAAATTTTACCATCAGATCATGTGCTGCTTTCTAGGAAAATGTAATTTGTTTAAAAGAATAAACAAAATCACAAATGCTAGAAAACTGAATTTATGAACATTTTTTTAATCATATGCTTTACCTTGCAAAACAAGTTTCTCTCTTTGAGATGGTCCCTCTTCTGCATCCTCAGGCTTGAGTGACTTTTTGCTGACACCCTCTTCTAGCCATGCATAAATTTCGTTGTCATCCAGGTCATCTTCATCACTGTCATATTCCCCAGCATCCTGATCAAAATTGTCTCCCCCATCTTCATTAGTTTCATCGATCACATCAAACTCATGAGTCAAGCCATTCTCATTCAGATTGCCAGCATCTGAGCCCATTTCCTCTGCTACTGCAGCTGCCTGGGTTATTACTCGTGATTTTTTGGCAGCTGGGCACCTGTCATTGTTCACTTTTTCATCATTCTCTGCTGAAGAGTGTTTTCTTTTTCTTCCTACATCCTCTCCAATATCCTCAGTGAGAGTATCATCTAAAGAATCTGCAGTACTCTGATCTTTATCTGAAGACTTGAAATCAAACACCATATCAAACAAATCATCAGACTGCTCTTTGACATCACACGCCTGGTTATCCTCACTGGCAGAATATATTTCACCATCACTAGACTCAACCTCACTCTTGTCAAAACTATCAGGGACAATGTCAGGGGACTCAGTTTTAAACTGGTCAGTACTTGAGTCCAGCAAGCTACTACTACTGGGACTGTCATGGTTAAAAGACTGTTGGCACTTAACTATGTTAAAGTTTGGTATATGGGGTGTCTTACTATCACTGTCTTTTTTACCTATGATCTCACTAACAGACCTGGAGTCATCATCATTGGTTTCCACCTCTGACTGAATTTCTCCTTCCTCAAGTTCTCCATCTGAGTCCGAGTCTTGAGCATCACTGAGCTCAAGAGACTGATTCGCAGCTTCATTGCCACCATCATCATTGTCAAAGTCCAACCTATCACTTGGTGGATTGGACGTTCGAGTTGATGTAGGTGGTTCTTTGGCAAGCAATCCTTCCATTGTTAACTTTCACTGGGAAATTGGACAATAATTACATTATCTACTATGGCCATGAACATAAGCAGAGTAAGAGGAACAACTCCTAAATAAAGGTGTTTTTAAAACTGTGCTTCTCCTCCATATTAAAACAAGAACAAATGACAGTCATCAGAAGTTGAGGAAGATGCACTGCTCGATTGCACTGAGACAGCCAGAGATTTAATAGTTCTCTCTAACTTTGCCAGTGCATATCTGCAAGGCATGATATTTGAAATGAATGAAAGATGAAATGCTAAGACTTACTGAACCAATTTACTCAGCTCTAAAAAAATTCATGTGTCGATGAATAATAAAACTAGACTTTGAAAAGGAATAAGAAATTATAATTTCCAACATAACATGTATGAATACATTTTTGAAGCATATAATTTTTATACAAAATACTAGTTTCCTCATTTATCTACAGATAATGAATGAAGACACAAATGTAAGAATGATACACAAGAATATACAACTTTTTAACCATTCTTTGACATTTTGATTTTTGGTATTAGACAATTACCTGCACCATACAACTTCATGAATTCTTAAACAGGCATCTGTTTTCCTAAAATTGAACCAGTATATAGGTGAATTATGACCTAAAAAAATAAAATATTAAAAAAAAAACTTTGAAGGCAAGCTTGATAGAACTGATGTGATAAACTTTCGTATTTTTTTTTTAAATTATCCAGTTCTAGTTTTAAACTTGCACCCAACAGTAAACTAAAACTTACTATGAAAATACTTCATTTAAACCTAATGCATGTGTACAGGTAACACATGTATTTAACTTTTTTTTTATAGAATGCCTTTTCATAATTACATGTACTATATTTAATTTTTAATTTGGGAAATGGGGAATCCAGTTCATACTCAAAATTTGTAATATGAAAGTTCATGACATCAACTTGCACTGGTGTACATCTGTCTTTTATGGCACAATTCCTCTAGACAAACTGGTAGAGACAATTTCCCATTTCCACAACTGTACACAATACTGAAATAAAGTTATTAATTTCACTTACGAATCATTTTCTGCCTATTAAAGGTAAATTGTATCTTCATGTTTTAATGTGGGAAATTGCATGTTTTTATCCAGTTCTTTTGTTAAAGGTGCCTAGAAACACTTGCATACCAGTTTGTTTACTTAAATGTTGGGTTTCTCAATTTATCTAAAAAATAGCTTCAGTTTAATTCATTGAACTTACATGAAAATCCTTAATAATTAATGACAAATGGCATTCTTTAAAATCTTACAACAAACACCTGAGTTTGTAAACTCCGTTATTGTTTTTCTTTACGTTTTACCATGTGTGTTGGATTTGCCAAAACTGCACGCATCACTGAACATAATCGGACAACACAGGTGTGTTGGTTTTGCTTTCTTAAATTTCTGCTTTGTTTTTTATCATAAATATCATTTATAAATACACCACATATTTCTGCCTTTTCTTAGCTACCATGGATAAATTTCAGTTCAAGAAAGTGCAAAGATGCATGCCAATCAAGCATATCCTCTATTTATAATTTTGACAATTTTCAGATGAATTTACTTAACATGCTTTTTTGATAAATCGGTTTGAAACACTCTTTCAACATGTAGGTCATGAAATTCTATAAAAAAATTTGAAGGATATAAACTCCGAATCTGTTTCCATGTCCCTTTAACTGTTTTAAAGCTATCAGAACAATCTTTTGAAGAAACAGAAAAAAAAAATGTTTTCTAACCGCACCATTTCTTAGGCGTAAAAAAAAAAAAGAAAGCAACTCTGTGATGTTGAAATGGTTTGTTTTAACAATTTTTTTTCTCTTGTTCTTTGCTTAGCCTAGCCTTGAAATTATGACTAAGCATAGATTCTCTGCAAAACTGGCTGTTATTGCAAACTAGAACTGTCCAAAGGGACAAATACCCCCCAATGGGTTTTTCAGAGAAGGTACCAAATCACTAATGTTTTCTAGATGTGAGGTGTTCACAATTTGCTTAAACATTTAGAGTGAAAATTTAATTACTCATTATATTTTTTTTAATGAATGAAACTATGGTGCAGCCAAATAAAACATCAATACTAATAATAACAGTGTTTTTTATTACATTGAAAAAATAGTTTGCAACTATCTGTCATCTTTGTGAGACATGAAACTCTGCAAATTGATTGTTGAAAAAAAATATCATAATTAATTATACAAAATCAAATTGATCTTAATACCTTTATATCAAACTCATTTTAAAAATAAAAGGCTGGTTCCAGTAACTAGTATTTTGACAGACATATACATTGTATCACAATTAAGAGACTTAGACAACAGAGATCTTTATTTCTTTTTGCCCAATTCCCAGGAGATATAGATAAGACCTGCTTGATCAGAGATGCCCTAACCGCTTCCCACAATGAACTCATTAATTAATCTTTAACTGGATGCATGTCCACTCATTACTCCCAAGGGACAAATGGATTTACACTATCTGCTGTGTAATGTAAATACTGTTTTTAATACTTTGTGATTTTTTTTCTAGTTCTAATGAGTAGTTTTAAGCTGTAGTTCACATTTTTGTACAGATGTTCTAGATTCTATGTCTCAAACCTTAGAAATAAACCCAAAATGACTAAGTCAATAAAAATGAAAAAAAAACCACCTGTAAAATGCAGAAAAATTATCAAATAATGTTGAAAATACTAGGTGCACATCTTCATATGGTAAATAATGAGTGTACAATTTTCATACAATTCTATGAAATAGTCTTTGAGAAAAGGTCAGGACAAAACCACATAATAAAAATGAAAAAAAAAAACACCTGTAAAATGCAGAAAAATTATTCAATCATGATGAAAATACCAGGTGCACACCTTCATATGGTGAATAATAAGTGTACAAATTTTTAGACAAATCTATGCAATACATGTAGTTTCCGAGAAACGCTCTGGATAAAAATCTTGTCTACAGACAGACAGATGGACATGGTGATTCCAATATACCCCCCCCCCCTAAACTTCGTTTGCAGGGGATATAATAAGAAAGCACCTTTCTGAAGATGAAATATTAGATATCAAAGAAATTTTTCTCTCTTGTTCTTTGTCTAGCCCTTGACTGAATGTAAATTCTCAGCCAAACTGGCTGGTAGTATTTTAAAATTGGTTGGTGTTGGTGATGAGTACAGTCAGTACTTCAGTTTATTATTTTCATGCTGCCATACATTAAAATGAAAGATATCACCCTGGTCATCCGTTTTCATTTTTTAGCAATAAGTGTAAAAAAAAATCCGGAAAATAACTTTTTGTTAAAGCTGCACAAACTATACATGTGCGAGTTACACTCCACATCCTAGAATTTGGGTATTAAAGACTTGAAAAATGCCTACTACAAGTAAAATTATCAGAGGTATGCAACTTCCCCCATCACGAGCAAACCCTATTTTTTTTGTGACCTCAACAACCATGTGCTCCTTGTTCATCTACTGGTTAACTCCTTTATCCTCAGTTTCATAAATACGAATTCGATTTTTAACCGTTTACATAACAATGCTCAAATTGTTAAAATACATATGACAAAGGTAAATATACACTCAAATATACATTATCATAATATTTTCTTGTTCTCCATCTTGATCATTCTGGGACCTTGCCGGAAATGACGTCATGTGCTTTGGACAGCTGTTAATTCGTACAATAAATTATTCGGAACATTGGTATTATCGATAGCATATTACAATAAAAATAAATTATACAGAGACTTTTCAGTAAAATTACCTCTAAAAATACGACTGTTTTAACCCAGCCTCACAAAAATATATTCTTTGCCTCATTTGTTACTGAAAACTTTCAAGTTCTTCCAATTTTCAATGCATAAATTAAAACAACTTTCTGAACATTTGACTGTGGACGTGTTTTTTTTCCCCTTTTGACCCATTTGACCATGTTTCTAATTGTTGCTCTCTAAAAATTTTGCTATATGAAGTTATTAGGGAAGGGATTAAGCAGAAGTCTCTGACGAGACTGTAGCTCCACTGGTTTGTATTTATAACAGAGGAAGAGGAAAGTGGTATTTCGACTTGAAATTTTGCAGCAGCAATAAATAGAATAATGATCCTTGGTTTAGTCTCTTTTTGTGCCAAGTTAATATTGAAATTGGACCAAAACTGTAGGAGCTCTTTTTAGTAACCATGGCAACACAGTTCACCAAAATCAAAAACGCTACACAGAACTACTGGTATGTATCTTAGTGTAGTCTACTTGTGTGCCAAGTTATATTGAAATCAGACCAAAACTGTAGGAGAAGTAGCATTTTGAAAAATTGTTTACAGACAGACAGATGGACAGCTAGACAGACAGACGGACAGTTGATATACACCTTACTATTGCATAAGCTCTTCTGATCTCTGACCAATAGAGCTAAAAATGGCCTATCTGAAGGGCATGTTTGAAAATTCAGCAACCTCACATGCATCGTCAATTGAAATGTTTTTCTTTCTCTCCTTGTACTTCAACTCTTTGAAGCTTTGGTGCAGACAACGATGCTCTAATTTTTGAATACTGCTAAGAAATCATTTATAAATACAATATAGGGCATGGACATGTATCAATAGCACTAATTCATGATTTCTCCATACCCAGTGATTGTGCTAATTTTTGAATATGCCAATTTATGTACACATACAGTATTTCTGAGAGGGTACCTGGTGTTTGCATCAATTTTGAGATTGTATAAAGCAAATGGTTCTCAAGAAACTGAGCTGACAATATCTTCCTATGTCTAATTTCTGTGTTGTTTGACCCTCGACCTTGTGACAGCAAAATCAACAGGGTTCATCAACTCCCTAGGGGAAAACAGTGTATTGAGTTTCAAGATATTGAATGGTCAATATCTTCCTATGTCCAGTTTAACACTTGACCTTGTGACCTCAAAATCAATAAGGGTACTACTTCTTAAGGGGAACCATTGTACCAGGTTTGATGTCTGTCAGGCAAAGGATTCTCATGATATTGTATGGACTATACTCTGAAATCATTAATTTTCCTGGGGGTTTAATTTGCGTTGTTTTTGAGGTATGAAAAGACCCATGAATTTGTCCACCACGAAATGTAATTTTTCACATATATTCTTCATTCACGAAATCAAATCTCCACCAGCCCATATTTTTTCCTCAAACCATGAAAATTTGATCCCATGAAAATATGTGATTTCACAGTATCTTCCTTTGTCTAGAGTAGTTTGACCCATGACTTTTGATCTTTTTTACCTCAACTTCATAGGGGGAACCAGAGTGCAAAGCTTGATGTTTCTAATTTTACCCTTGACCCTTTACCTTGTGACCTCATCTCCCCTTAAGTGGAACCAAACTAAAAAGTATATGTCCCACTTGATTTATCTATTGAATAAAAAAGTACCTCATTCTGTATCAATTAATCAAGTGTACAAATCTGTGCATCTAATTAAAATTAATGTTAGATCCACTTGCATACTTGCTACACAACAGAGCAAATGAGCGGATCTAACATATAATTTTAATTAGATTGACAAATCTGTGCACTGGAAAGAATTTATCGAAAGTTTGTACACTGTATAGTGTATAGTCAGGTGTACTGAATATTTTTGAATTCAATTTTAGTCTCAAATGAAGCATATCATCTCAAATAAGATAAAAATGTTTCAACTGATCCCTCTTCATCCTAACTGGTATAAGTACATGTAATTCCAGTGAAAGTTCACCTTAGCCCTTACATATAAGTGCATTACATCTCTAGTCACATTTAAATCATCAAACGGTATACACATTTATAAGCTTTGTAACAATTTATTTAAAAAGTAATATATCATTCATCAACAGTGACGTTTTTCTCAATATTGCATCAATGCCCAATCAATGTCATTAACATTATCTACAAAGAAGACATCTTGAAATCATTCCAAAACTCTGTCAGCCTATTATTTTCGTTTGAACAGAACTCACGAAAATCTGCCAACATTTTGTCCTGGAAGGATTCGTCTCCTGTGTTTGGAGATCGCCATCTCTTTGATGACATAAAATTCCAGGACCACAAGAATCCAATTTTATTTTGCGTCACGACTTCAGCAGCTGAGGAGCTGCTGTTCTGTCGAGCTATATAGTCTTTGCGAAGCTCTCCAGCAGATTTTTTACTGAATCTACTGGTTGTTGTTTTCTTTTCTTTGGGTGTTACAATCTGACTGCTCTCTATAAGGATAAACATGCCGCCTGTACAGTGTACATACTGCTGCTGTTCATCTGTCATGTAGTGATGATGAGTCTGGGATACACAGACATTGATTGGCATGAAACCATACCTAAAACGACAAAACAAAACCATACCTAAAACAACAAAACAAAACCATACCTAAAACAACAAAAACAAATCATACCTAAAATGACAAAAACCATACCTAAAACAACAAAAACAAAACCATACCTAAAATGACAAAAACAAAACCATACCTAAAATGACAAAAACCATACCTAAAACAACAAAAACAAAACAATACCTAAAATGACAAAAACAAAACTATACCTAAAATCACAAAAGCAAAATCTTAACACCAGAAAGCACAGTTATCTACATGTAATTACAGGTTATCCAAATTAAAATTACCTGTATATTCAAGATTTATATGGTTGTTTATTCTTATCTAAGGATGTGTAAAATAAATAGGAATTCTAGAAATTATCTTTCCCGAATTGTGTGAATGAAAAGCTTAAGATGTAAGCAAAGAATATGTACCTCTTAATGATTTCATCTTGAAAATGTAACAGTTTCTTTGATTTAGCATCTGGGTCCAAATCTGAAAAGAAGCATGAATTTGTCTTCTTGAAAAAGTAATACAGAAATTTACTAACGGTGAGTCTATGAATATTTGTACATATGAATGTACTAGTCAGTTAACTCATCAATGAGGCCCACTCACCATGAAATATTGCTTTTCCTCCCTGTGCTAGACTAGCAATGTCCAGTGGAATAAAAATGGGTCCTCTCAATGGGTCAGAGTCTGGGGCAGAAGGCAGGGCAAAAGGGTCCCCTGGGACAGGAAGAAGGTGAAATCCACAGGCTTGGGCCTTGCGCCCCCAAGTTGTCACCTGTTAGTAGGTTTGTACAGTGGACTCTTTCAGCATTAATTAATAGCTTTTCTTTTACAATAATAGCAAGATGTTAACATTTTCAATTACTTGCATGGAAAATCCTATATTCAGTTTAATGCTTAAATCTTTAATTAAATTCAACCTTAATAATTGATTTTACTAATTACATGTATATCAAAAAACTTACTACATCTGCTATTTAGATTCAAGCATATAGTTTGGAGTTTTGCACCATTAGTGACTAACCATAATATTTCATAAATATTTTACCAAATCTCCAAGAATGGGACCTGTGGCAACCATCCACTGGAGCTGTATTTCAAATGCAGCATTGGGGCTGTAGTAAGCATGGTATTTGGCCGACGCCCACTCTGGGCGGTCACTCTTATTATTGGAATCAACATCAACATGGACATACTTGTGAGTTAGTGTTGCTGAAATGTGCAAATTTTAGGGAAAAAAAGCCTTACAAAAGGATCAGATGATTTCAAATACAATATGATATATGTATATGGTATAATGTATGACAAAATATGTTTTAGATGATATTCAAACAATTGACTATATTAATTTTGGTTTTTACCTTAAGTTAGTTATTTTAGATTTGTTTGCCACAAAATTAAATTATCAAAAATGTGCAAAACTATATTCAAAAAATCTATTTATACACTACATACAGTATGGAATGCATCAATTAAAGTGCTTAACATATTTTAAAAACTCTTACAAAGAGGAAATAGTAGTTGATTATATTGATCAAAATACTGAAATGGTACATTAATACTGTGAATTTTTATAAAAAAATTTATACAAGAAACTAAAGTAAACATTTTGTAGAGTACCAGTTTTAGGATGAGATAATGAACAGAAAACCCTACATATGAACTTTCATCATGAAATATTCAACATTATATCTCATTAAATATATCTCCATACTGGAAAAATACTGCTGATCTGTTCATGCAACATTCAATTTTTCAGTTAAAATTCAGTATTTGTCTCAAATGGAGATTGCATTTAAATTTCATGCTGAGCAGATTTAAAATAAAGATTGTTTAAAATTAAGAAAGTCTTAGCAATAAGTTTTACATATCCAAAATATCCACTGCCCCTAATCTACGATGGAACATCCTAAATACAGTACCGGTTACTTCTGTTCACACACGGATTACATGTACAGAGTTTCATCCTGTGAATAAGGGCAATCATTGAAAAGTTTGATATCAATATACAATGTACCATGGATTCAAATGCTTCCATATATTCAAACATTTGCTTTCGAATCAGTATAATTTTTTTTTGAAGTTCAACTGCATAGCAATGCCACATACAGTCAATTTCTGGATTCCAGTTCCCTGATAACCCTTTCAAAGTTGGCTTTAAAATAGATAAATGAAACCTAGAAAAGAAATAGGGTCAATACACCTTAAAAGCCAGAACTTATGTATGCATTAGAAGTGTATAAATTAAATGCATGTAATTAAACCCCTGCTTTTCTGCAAATTAGGAAGCATTTAAAAATGAAGTATATGTGGCCTAATTAGCTGGATGTTTAAGGAAGCTCTAAACACTAATGAAAAATGTTTTGAATTTTGAGAAAATTGTCTCATATAAAGGCGTACATATTATGTTGTTCATTTTCAACATAGGATACCCGACATATTTCTCCAGGAAAATTATACCAGTATTCAAAGACAATGAATAGTGATCAAAGTCACTGTTGTTTACTTACATTAAGGAAATGTAAAAAAAAATAAATACTTATCTATTTCAAATTGTGTCATTTACTTAAGATTCTAGTTTATTTCATCTTACATCAAAGGGCAGATCACTTTCACAATACCTGTGTAAAACTACCATGGAATTAGAACTCTTTAGTGAGCAGTATCTAGAGCTTCCTTAAAGAAGTTTTATTTGCCACTGAAGACAATAACTCTTAGTTACACTAAAATCTATATATTAATTTTTAAAATCTATACATTTAATGTTAACAGCATGCAGTTATACAGTCTGAAAAAAAAAAATTCAAACCTTCACTAGCTCCTTTTTTTTACAAAAAGGAGCTAGTGAAGGTTTGACTGTAATCAGACTGGCAGTTATAGTCTCTAAGTCCATAATTTAGAAAAGCTGCTTATTTTTCGTATGAAGTAATTTAAGCTGTTGAAAGTCATATAATTTGAAATAAAATTTAGCTTCAAATCCTTTGAAAATAGCATAAAATCAGTATTTTCTTATCATACCATGGTAAATATTGATACTGATATTCTAATCAATGACAGCCCTATCTTGAATAAGCAACCATATCAGCAGGGTTCCACTTACAATGGTTCTTCGCATAACAATCTTACTACGTAATCCAAATAATTATACATGTAATCATGCAAATTCCACCATTACCCACAGTAACCATAGATACCCATACAAAAAGCTATCTGACCAATGAAAGCAGACTTTGCAGAGCTAACTATATGGACTGGTGACTTCGTACAAAAGAGATTTTAATATTATAATAGCTGGTCATATTGGTGGAAGTAAATTTTAGCTAATTTCAATGGCTAATTTGTGTCAAAAGAACCGACTTACTTAGTTGTGGCTTACCGAATTTGTCATGAACTTACATTTAATTTAGATGGCAATAGCAATGAAGAATCAGTATGCAGATTGGGCTAGAACTAGAAAATTGGCCAATCAGCAAAGGTCCCCCCAGAGGGATATGTATCTTTGGGAGGGAGGGGGTAAAGGGATTAGAATATGGTAACTTGATAAAGAAAAATTCAAAATGGAAATTCAAAATATATGAAGAATATGAAACAACTACTATTATTATTAAATCTAAATATATTTCCTAATTGACAGAATAATGTTTTATCCAACTATGTAAAAAAAAAAATTAACAGTATCCTTGGGAATAAAAAAAGAAACCATATCTCATTATTTTTTTTCCTTTAAATTAAAATTCAATTTAATGTGCATTTGAAACAGAATAAAGAATGCCTTTTAAAAGATGCTAGCCTTCAGTAAATAACATCAACCTGACAAGACCAAAGGACCGTGACGTGCAGAAGGTGTTACCCGTAATTAATCTTAATGTGACAGATAAAGTTCTGCACCTTCTACAGCAAGCCAGATAATTAACTCAAGGGGGGACTCATTATAGCTTTAATCTTTTTATACAAACGGAAGTTAACTATAGGATAACTTATGTATCTGTGCCAGATCATTCCTATATGAAGAATGGCATCTACACACCACCCCAGCTCCTACCCAGATGTCATACACAATCAACCTTGGTATCACACAAAAAGCCTGGTGTCTGTTGACAACTAATTACTTAGGACATTGTTTAGTTTACATGGATGTTCATTATATGAGGGGTTATCAAAAAAATTAATGGACTAGTGCAATAAAATTAAAACTACTTAAGGTATGTCAATGAATTTTTACACATTTTTTAAACAAGTCAACATCTTTTCCATTTACAGAATAAACTGAAAGACATACAGCTTATCTCTGAATAAATTGTCAATGTTTTCCTAAGCAAAGGTATGACCATGTGGCACAACCTCAAAATATGACGTACCAATGGTGACAGGGCTTTTCACATGAGCATTTGTAATCTTATTTTCATGTTAATTGACATATGTGTGATGAGACACAATTGTTCTATAAAATTTATGAGATCTTATCATAATTTCAATTCAGAGTGCTGAAAATATATTAAGAAAAGGGGGGGGGGGGTCTTTTTGTTGCACTTTATAGTTTCACATGCAGAAAAACTTGCATAGACTATGAAATGTTTGAACAGGCCGGAGTGAGACAAAATAAGTCCAGATTACCTATTATTAAATGGCAATTCAGATTCAGAGAGAGGACAGATACATTTAATGCTGATTTGCTGTCCAGGTGTCCAAAGTTAAAAGTAACATTACTTGTGTGCTGTAGAAATTGATATCTGACAAGCAGATTTAGCTGCCAAAGTCAAGTGAAGATTTTTATCTTTTTTGTAGATCCTTTTCCAATACATGTACTGTGTTTTGAAATCAGCTGTTCATGAAATTTTAAAATGTAATAAACAAGATGGGTTTCAGTCAGTATTTAACTTCATGGAGTGGACATTGTGAAGCAATGACGTTTTCAAACATCATTAAACTCAACTGCAATAGTACCAGGTGATCATACAATGTCTTTTGTATTTAATGATAAACTGGCAAATTGTCAACATATCAAGCTAAAACTATCAACATGTCTTAAACTTTCCTTATAATTTTTTTAAGTACAGCCTACAAAGTACTGAATTTATTGCATCAGTCCACAAACTTTTTGATAACTCCTCATATGTATTTTTGCTTATAAGAATAATTTAGGATATTAAACAATTTTATTTTAAAAACTGAATTTTTTTCGAAGTTTCTCCATTTCAATATATAATTTGAAAACAAAACATTCCAAAATCATGCATTTTATATGCTTATATTTTGAGGTATTAGTTGTGTATTAATAAAAGAAAATTGTGATACATGTATTTAAATTTTGTGCATACTAATTTTTCTCTAGAATTATTAAGGATTGTCAATAAATGATACTTATATTCAATAATAATTAAATAATAGAAAATTGTGGGTAAACACAGGTACACTGTATATGTGCAAAATCTAAATAAGCTCTTAATTTATCTATATAGATCAGTAAAATTACAAAGAAGAAATGCTTTTACAAAATAATTGGTCAGATAGGCGACTTTGAACATACAGAGAAAGTGTCTCGGCCTACCTTTGAGAGCACACAGGTTAACTCTTGAACCTGTAAATTCACTTTGTTATAACAAGCCTCATCTTTTATATTACAAAATATATGAATCAATATCTAATTTCATCTTCATTTTTTCTGTGGTATGTCATAAATTAAGTTTTTAACTGACAGAAGTTAGCATGTACATGTAATAAAACATGCTCTAAATTGTACAATATAAACATAAACAAAATCAAACAAATAAGTCTTTAAATATAATGTTGTTTAAGTAATTTTTTATCATAATATTTTTGTAACACTAATTATCATCAATAATATATTGAAGTCCTTGTGTTAATGGGGAATTTTATGGCTATGTACTGTATGTCTGATAAGTAAAATTCTGAAATACACGAATATTGAAATCTTACTAGTATAAGTTTACTGCAAGACCACAAAATTTAACATATAACACGTACATGTATACATGTAAACGATGGAAACTGAAGAAATCAATTCCTTACAAATACTTCACATTTTTAACAATGATAGAATTCTGAATTTGGTAAGTTGACAAGGTGAAAATGTTGAGCTTTATTATAGGAAAACAAAAATGATTCAAAGACATGCGTGTATGTACATGAACAAAAAATGCCAGTATTTCAGAAATCAAAATATGCAAGCATGGGATTTGGTATATATTCTTTGTAAAGGATGTTTTGTAATAAAGCTGCTTTTCCATAATAGTCTCGCAAACTACTATAATACAACCCTAACACATACAGATATTTGTACATTATATACATGTTTATAGACCTGATTCACATCAATTATATTTAGGTTCTTACCCAGCTGTTGGCCCCAGCCCTGGGCCTCTGAGTCTAAACCAGACAATTTTTGCCAGTTGTTGGTTGTCTTATTAACCCAGAGCTCGGACACCTGGCATGGAGACTCGTCCATCGCAAACAGTGGCACCTCAGTTCTTTCTCGCTCCACAGGAAGAATGGCTACCTCACACCACTCATTTTGGAACAAATAATTGTAAATTGGTCCATACACATCTACAAGAGGATAACAAGAAATTAAAAAGACAGAACTTCTTCTCAAAAGATTTACTTCTTTGTAAGAAGTGACTCAGTAAAGTAGAATGACTGTTAGGTTTCTGATTTTCTCTGATTACATATATATGTAATAACAAATGATGTTTCACCTGAATGTGTAAAAAACTAACAGGAATCAACATCACTTACTCAGGTAAATGTATTCACATGTAAATGACCAAATACATGTACTGCTACATATACAAGCATGAAGCAAAAAAAAAAAAAACCCCAGAACATTCCATTCTTTGATGTGACATTGATGGAAGTTTACCAGTTTTTGGTTTATCTTTTGGTGACACAATGTTGTACAGGTAGAAGCCATGGATGAACTTGTGATAGGGATTTCCTGAGGCGTGGCAAATAAAGTGTTCATCTTGTAGTCGCTATAAATTAATGAATATCATTGTGTTGGACAGAAATGGCTGACAGAATATTTCAAAAATCATTTTCAAACCCTTATATTCTTATGATATTTGGTAAAAGTACATCAAAAAGCAGATTGAAAAAAGCATTATACACCTCCACTTTAATATTTACATCAAATACAGTGTTGTCATAATAGTCTAGTCAAACAAAGTGAAAACACAGAGTATGTTCAAAAATTTTTAAAAACAGATTTCATACAAAATAAATTTATATCTGAAGGTCAACAACTATTTAACCCAAGCATACATGTACCACAATTACATATCACTACTTGCTCTGTGACCCTGACCTGCATTAGAGTGGTGCCACTAGAGATGTCCTTGACCTCCTGTATATTTTGTATACACCAATCCACCGCCTCCTCCGAGATAAAACAGCTCTCTGGGAGACCAGTCTGCCTAGGAATCATGGGTAATCCTGTCCTGTGATACACATAATAAACAGGATACAAATTGAGGTAAATTCACAAGATTTACATAAAGAATAACCATGTCAATCAGTACTGATGTAAATAAAGAATACAGTAGATGTAAAGCATTTTCATATTTGTTGTTTGACTTCTGGATGATATCTAACAATATCAAGAAACACATTTCAAACAACCACTTACTGGGGGTCTCTCATAGCTTCTATTAATTTTGATGATGGCATTGATGTTGACAATATTACTACTTCTTTCTGGCTGTAATGACAAGAAAATAAAATAATAATATCATGTGAGTACTCATTTTTGTGAGCTTCATATTTTGGTGTTTTGTTCTGATAGTACGGTAATTCATTATTCCTCTTTATATGTCAGTAGCAGTATCAGTTGATGTATCCCCCCCAAAAAAACAGAAACCCCACCCCCAAAATCCTCTTACCTAGATGGTGAAGTTTGCTGGTCTGAAGTAGGGGTACTAGATGCATTTTCTCCAGAGTGCTGCTTAAAACAAAACACGAAAACATCCATTTACAATCATTTGAGGCTTTCTAAAAGCATCTGTCTTCAGATATTAAAACAGATGTTATAAATCAGAGAATGGATGTTTACCTTTGGCCTTCTAGCCTGTGCAGTTCTCCTGATTTTGTTAAGAGTTTCTAAGAAGCGAACGAATCCACTGATTAACTGATGAAGTTCCTGTTTACTTTTCATCTGATAGATATCACACCTTAGGAAACAAACAACAATAATTACACACGATATCTGGTAGATAAGATATTACACCTTAAAAAACAAACATCAATAATCCACCTGATATTTGGTAGATATACCTTTAGAAAAATCAACAATCACACCTTATGTAAAGAACTATACACAGTAATGGCAACTTCCTGTCCCCATAAAAAATCAAATTTTGAAAATCTTTTTGAAATGTGCACAATTGTAAATATTGTATATAATATCTGAATTAACAAAATGGGGAAAAAACGTCATTTTTGTCTCTGTGACATCACAAACTACTGAGATTTCCCATTATTTTTTTCTTTTTAAAGAGAAAAATCCCAAATTTTGTTCAATGTCGACTTTATTTTTAATAGAGCGCAAACTTGCTCAAAAACTATTTCAAAACATTTCATTGATACTATCAATCTGCACATTATATCAAAAGATGGAGTATGAGCAAACCTGCGCTCAATTTTTTTTCCAATCAAATTATTGACTAAAAACTCAATTTTCTTTTGAAATCATTGCTCAAAACATGCTTGTGAAATGTTGAATTTATGTCATTTTTTGATATCATATCTAACTTACATGTACATCATCACAGTGGATGAAAATGGTTCATGCTTTAAAGTCTGTATATAACCTCCTAACTTTAGTTAGAATATAATTTAAGATTTCCCCATCAGAGTTTGATTCTGGGGGCATATATTGGCCATTATCAAGTATAGTTTGTTGTGCTCCTAAAACATGCATTTAAACAATTTTAAAGGAAAGAAATATTGTTTCAATCATTCAGTAGCAATACAGAGATAAAAGCTTATTTTCTTGCTGTAATTATTTAACAGAAATTACATGCACCTGCATAAAAAATCCTGTGAGTATTAATGATGACAATCTACTGATCATAAATTGTGCCAAAAAAGTGATTGTGTGGATCTAGACTCTGGTTGATATGCAATACTGTTGACAAATATTTTTCTTTGTTTTAACTATCTTGTCTCATTTCTCATAAAATTGATACTAGTACACATGAAAACATACATGCCTGGGTATAGATATGCATAAAAGTGTTTGTTGCTTAGGAAAAGATAGAAGCATTCAGTAGACTGGAAAAAGTTAAAAAGAAATATAAAAACTTATCCAAAACTCTGCACTGACCTAGGGCAGATCCTGGTGGACACAGTTAATATCAAATAACCACATCATACAAAAGAACAAAATTGAACAAAAATGATATTGATAAACTATATAGTATTCTGAGTATGTTGTCATTTTAATTAATTGCTGTTTAATTGTGAAAATGTATTATTTTGAGATTATCTTATATTTTCATCACTGTATTGTATTTACATCCACTGAATATTTTCTCCTTTATTTCTTATGAAATTGCTGTTGATCAATCAATAAACACAATCAACTCCTAAACTAGTTAGATCTAGTTTTTTTTAAACCATGTCTATATGAAAGTTTTTTAAGAAGGGTCAAAGGTCAACTGTTTCATGGCCCTTCTGACAGCAATCATTGCAAAAAAAAATTACATATCATTTCATTGTTTAAATAAATGATAACTATCCTCCAGAATATCACAATACTTAATTAATTGATTAAAATAATGGTAAAATAAAGGAAGTCAAAATAAAAACATAATTATTTTTTAATTTGGGATGCTTTATATCAAACTCATGGAAATACACTTACTAAATTTCTTGTATTGAGGAGATATAGATATTACTAGAACTCACAATTACATATATGAGTGAGAATTTCAAGTGCAATAAAATTCATTGGGAAAAAATCCAAACTATGTATGTATTTAAAACTGCACTTGTAAACAAACATATCTTACAGTTTGGCATAAATCGATCTCAAACAAAAATTAAGCAGTTAATATTCACATTTAATGTGTCTTGTGCAAATGAACAAACTAAATATTAATAGACAAAAAAGTTTAGGACAAAAATCCCAGTGTTACCTATCATTTCCCTCTATGATCTTTCTGGTAGCTGGATTATTACACGGCAACAGAAAAAATCTCGCTTGCCAGTACTTCAAATGCTACAAAATGAATGTAGCAACATATTAAAATGTGCATCCTACCTTTTTCATACTGAAAATCAAGTTCCTCATGTACGAAATTCTAAACTACATACATCTAACAACCCGTAGTCACCCTCCCCACGAGTACATATGTACTGATCGAGATAGTTCCAGTTGTAATTCTCTAGTTTCTCATTTTTGAATTGACTCGTTGAGATGTCATAGCTCAGTGAGTCAGGGACCTGAAATCGGTACCTATACAAGTGATTCATCTGTCTCTGTTCATGTCTGTAAAACAAAACGTGAATTCTAGCAGGTGTACAAAAAATAAGCCATACCAAATTTTAACATTTCATTTATTGTTGCTTGCTGTTGGCCCCTAAAACCTTATACAACATCTATAATTTTATAACTGTTTCCAAAATGCTCATTTTTTATTGTTATTTTCACTTTGGGTTAACTAATACTGCAGTTGATTGTGTATACCGTAAGTCATTTAAAAATTGCAGAACTTATAGAGTGCTGAAGTTACCTTGGTCTGTACTGAGTGACCTGAATGGTCTGTCCACTGAGGGTCAGCTTGTGAAATATCAATCCAATGCTTAGGTAGATCTCCTCCTGTTCAGTAAAATAGAGCTGTGAAACTTAGACCTGTACTCCCAACAGGGCTACTCAACAAAGACCTGTGCAACTTAGACCTATAAACCCCACAGGGCAACTCAACAAAGAGTATACTTGAAAACTGAAATTAGTTTGGAATACTCTGTACTCTTAAATAATGATAATATTTCTAGTTATTCTTGTGCCCTTAACCTAACACAAAATCATGAAACACTTTCAATCTTGTTATAAATATAGCTACTTCTGATTGGTTTTCGGCACCATATTTTTTCCACTGACCTGCGGTCCAGACCTGGGTCTGGCCCTGATGAGACTAGAGGTCAATGGGTACTGAGGACTAGACCCAACTGACATCTCTAAGGATTGTTTGTCGGACTTCTTCTTAGTAATGATCTGGAATCCCTGGGCCAGCCTCTGGGAGATCAGCTCCCTGAACAGCTCTGTCACAGACAGGGGCTTCCTTCTGTAGAACTTTTCATCCTCTGAGGCTGGGGGACTGAAAGGGGGACAGAGAGTAAAGATCAAACAGCTTGTTTTGACACCAACTTCTTCAATAAAGATGTCTGTAAAATTCATGATTTTTCAAGGGAAGGATAGACAAACAATGACAATTAACAGTATTTAAAGTTATTTGGGAAACATGGTAATGTAAATAAACAAATTTATTACTACCCATAAGAGTGTTAATATCAGTGATACACTGAATAAAAAGTATCATCAGTACATCATATAAACACTAAAACTGTCCAGAAGTCTGCTGTAGTTTTGAATGATTTACCTGGAGTAGTACTCGTTGTTGACATCCTCTGGTATTAATGTGTACTGAGATAGAGTGTAATCATTCTCCAGACTCCGTTTGTCTGGGAAGTAGTCAGTGGTGATGGGAAGAGAGGCGGGCATTGTCAGGGATTTCCAGTCCACACCTGAGGGAAAAAAACAATAATCTTACCTGGACAAAGAAATAAAGCTGGCAATGAAATGTAGGAAAATTTATTTTAATTATTATCAAGTTACTGATTTTTAATTTAGTTGGACACCTCAAATTTTAAACACATTTACCAAAACATAAAAATAAAAATTGTAAAAATGAATAGAAGAGGCAAATACAAGAGATGCAGCCACTGCACACAACAAAACATTGTCTCAACTGAGAGTACCAACCAAAGCTATTCTGGTCTATAAGGTACAAAAGAGTAGAATATTTGAAAAAAATATATAGATAAAAACAGATAATCAGATCCAGGGAACTAACAAACTTTTTAAAGCTCAATATTGGATTTTTTATAATGTCTAAATCAAGAAATCCAATTAAGACTGGGCATGTGTTTTTTAATATAAAATATTAAATCATGCCTAAAAGACCAGAATGACTTGGCATTGATTATATTAGTAATTAAAATTACAGGCAAGCTAACAAACCATGCACAGCTACAGTTAAACAAGAAGTATAAAAAGAAAAGTCCCTTCCCAAGTCAAACAGAAAGATCTGTACATAGGTCACTTCAGAGGTCAAAATTGGCCAATCAAAGCAGTATTGTATCATTTAAGCTTTTCATCTATACCACTGAACTTAAAATCTGTTAAGTACATCTGATTCTAAACCAAATTTACAAAAGCCATGGCATCTACAGTAGTTCATATCCATATCTTTACTTATTGAAAACATTCTGCCTTTTATAATTCTAGGAAGCAACTTGTTAGAAAGCTGACTACGATAAAGACATGTTTAGTTGATATGTAAAGTATGCATATACGACATTTTTATGTCTAATTATACAAAATTTTAATTAATTATGCTTCCCATATTGAAATGTCTAATTATTGTCTTTATTGGATGAAACTGTTCATTTAATCTGTCATTCCTTTTGAAACATATTCAATCAAAATTAAACTAAACTTTCATAGCCATATGCACTTCAAACTCACAATGTGAATGAATAAAAAGCAACAATAAGTATCCGAAATGTCAGATCAATAATATTACATTTAATTCATCAAAAGGAGTGAAGATAAATGCTTTTTCATGCAACACAATGCACCGAGGTTTTTGAAATGATATACAAACACTACACAGTGATGTTTGACTTTCAAACGCATGAATGCATAAGATAAATTACATGGTTTATGCTCATACTTATTCCAGCACAGAAATTTTGCGAATGTATGTCTGCAGTTAGTATTGGCTTGACGAGACAGGAATCATTTTGATATCCATGTGCGGGAAACCAGTCCTGGCCTGAAATTTACATAGCACAAAAATGTTCGTCAGCACAAAGGGCAAATGGATGATGGTCTTTATACAATATATATATCAGATAGTGTTAGGTATATAGAATTTATCAATTAGCTTTACAGTGTACCAGTGGTGTAATAAAATGTGTGTTTGGGCCATTCCAAGATTTCTATGTTTTCTATGTTAAATGTCTACCTATTCACAAAAAACACAAGTTGAAATATAAAACACTTTATAATCATAAAAATGACATTATGAAGGGGATCTGATTTCATTATTCTATTTTTCTTAAAAACAAAAACAAGGTGGTAGATGTTAACTATATACCTAATTTGACAGATTCTTAACAAATAAAGAATAAAATGGACAGAATTCAAAGATTTAACCAAATTTTCAACTTCTGGACTACTAATACTATAGATTCCTTATTTTACGGAAGTACCGGTACTTTATATAGCAAAATGGCTCTTAAGCGTCCAATGGGGAGAACAAAAATTTGAGAATGGATGATTAATGGATAAATTTTTCATTGAATTAATCTCCATTAAAATAAAAGTGAGAAATTTTATTTTGCGAATGCTGCTTCTTGCAAAATTATGTGATAATTAATTCCTCGCATATATTTGGGATTCTACAGTAGTGTTTTTCTGATCTAGGATGTCACAATTCAAGGTGCATGTGGATGCTAAACAGAAAAAAAAATCTTGGAATGGCCTTACTAAAAACATTAATAAAATTTTAGAAAAGTTCAGGAGGGTATGAACCTAGACTTCTCCAAAAGGCACATTTCATGAACTGCATTTATTGAGCTATTCATGAAATAAATGAATGTGTGATCTTTTAATTTATCAAACAGAAATCTCTAAGGGAACAAATATGCATGTGCAGCACAGGAAGAATGCTGCACTTATCAATGATCATCTGGGTCATTGCTTTTTCTAAAATTCAAAACTTTGGTCTTTTAGTGGAACAGCATTAAGATAATGAAAGAAATTTAGATTTCATGGGATAGAAATTTAGATGTATTGCTTTGCTTCATGTTTACAAGAATCAACTTTTTAAAGATTTTACTATACTACTCATGTAAAAATCCCTTGTCTCAAATTTGCTACAGTTAAAGGCTGAGATATGTGCAACAAAATTTGACACCATATAGTGATGCTACATGTATCTTGCATACATGGATATCAAAATTTGAATGGATATTAAAGTTGAAAAATATAAAGTTGATGTTCTTGAAAAGATGTTTCCAATATAGCTTAATATAAAACTATTTTTTCTAAGAACCTTCCTGAATCAGCAATATTTTTTGAACTGTCTCATCCAAAAGTGTATATCCTAATTATCATTTATCAGATAGGGTTGACCTTGAATTTGACCCCTATAACATGCAGATATAATACATGTTTACAAAACTGCTACTTGCTAAGACAGAGTACCATTAATATTACGTCAAATATACAAAGTGCAAATCAATAACAGTTCTTATATTAAGAAATCCATATACATGACATTGTAGGATTAATTTAGAGAGTAACATACTGAAAAACAAATATATTTATTTAGAGGGCCTTAAACTAGTTACAGGACAGCTGTTATTACACAGAGAATAAGATGCATGTACAAGAATATACAGAAAACACATCCTTAATATAAATCATTCTGTACATATACCATTACAGATTACACTTAATCTAAATACAAGTCCTCTCTTTGTTGATTCATATGCCTTATCAGATAATACATATAAAAAATGTCTTGAAGGATTTCTGGGGTGATGATAATTAAAGCCTGGGACATCACAGAGACAAAGACAAACATTAAATGAATGGACAAAATGTGTATAATATATACATGTATGTAATTTTAAAACTGCCAAATTCATGCTTATATACAAGCCAACTCAAACATTCATTCTGCCCTAAAAGTATGACCACCCTCATAGAACCTGTCAAAGCCACATGCATGTTCTAGTTCCAGTGTTTTCCCGAAGAACCGGCCACCGGCCAAATTGACCACTTAAGTCGTTAAAAATGCCACTGAGATATCAAAAATTTTAAAAATAATTGTTGTAATGTCTACAAAGATTTTTTTTCATAAACCTCACCCATAGCCTATAACAATTGATATATAACATTTTACTTTGAAATAAAGGGAAAACACTGAGTTCATATGTACCTAACCAACCCTATAAGTGCTACATGTATGTAATGTTAATCAATAATGCATATATATGTAAATGACCTATACATGATTTATATTTGAGTGAATTTAATTATGCTTATCTTTCAATCAGTTCCAGAATATCTATCTACATAATTGTTGAAATGTACTTGTGTATAATGTTATTTTTGAATATGATTAATATGTACAATTGACTCTAAAAAACACATTGTCTTCCAGGTTTGGTTTCACTTTGATCCTCCACACACACCTACAGACTAGAGACTGCTTACACCTCAATGGAACTTTTCTGGGATATCTACTGCTTACACTTCTATGGGACATTTCTGGGATATCTTCCTAACCATATAATCATTAGTCTTCAATTACACACATGTAGTGACAATTTTGATGATAAAAATGCCTTAATTACAGGTAGCTTGTGACAGAACTATATATATTAATCTTTGGAATCATCACACCTTAAAACACTCCAAGAAACACTGCAAGATCAGTGCCAGATACTAAATATACAATTGTATATAAAATATAATGAAATCATTCCCAAGATTGAATTCCCTAAAGCTATGTATGCATGCTTAGATGTATACACTCTGTAAATCATAGTAATTCTTTCTAAACATGTACATTGTAGATCCGTACAATAGATTCTGTGACATGATTGGTTCTTTAAGAATCTAATTACAGAGTTTCCTCTCTTTTGGAAGCCCATCAAATAGCAACTTACATGTACTTACATGTATTTGCGAGTACTGACAAAACCCCTTATTGAAAATAAATATAATTTGTACATATATCATAAAATAATTTCTTATCTTTACTAGCCAAAAAAGTTCATGATAATCAAACCTTTTTTAAACACTTCAGTTCTTGCACTTGTATTTCCTTTTCACATTGTAAAATTTATGATGAGGGAATTGCTTACTGATATGTGATGAACAGTCTAAGGGCTTCAATCTACTGATAGATGTGTTTGTTAAACTTAATTGTTAAACAGAAACAATGCCCAAAAACATACTGTATCTATAATATGATTAAAACTTATTCACATTAAGAGAAATAGATATCATGCATTTCTAAGAAAATTGTAGAACTGAGTAATCCTCTCATGGGTTTAGTCCATATTTGAAGGTGAAGTTAAAAAATAAAACATGATACAATCCTCATGACTTTTTTAGTCCAGTATCTTTCAGACCTGTATTATTGGTCTTATACAGTCAGAGCTATCTTTCATCTCAGTGCATCACAGTGGACATTAGATATAATCCAGAATGTATGCTCTTTGGTGTATTTTCATATGAGAAATAGTCAGAAACATTTACCTGTTGTCATATCTGGGCTCCATTCTTGTTCCCCAGTTGGGCCCCAAAGATAGGATCTGTTTTCCTTCGCCTTGTTCTTTGTGACCTTCCCTGCCTGTAGACCCAGGTCAAGGACACTGCTGTTGTTGACTGAGCCTAGAGAGGAGCCCTGGGGAAGGCGTTCTAGATTATGGACACTGCTAGTCGGAGAAATACTCTTACAGCTGTCTACAGAACCCACGTAAAATTTCTCCTCAGAAACCAAGCCACTGGCAGTATGATTCAAACTGTCAAATCATAAATTAACCCATCCTTATTACAGGGGAAAAGATCTTTACTTGCATTCATACATTTATTTAACCTCTTTTCTGCCATTTAAGTAATGTTAAGCATCTTAGATTTTCTGAACAGCATTCAAATATGCTTAATAACTATGTTTATTCTTCTTTGTTCTACCTGCTAGGTTCTGAGAACATTTTCTCATCTTGTCCAATGAAGGAAGGCTGTCTTTTCATGTCCATTGACAACTGGGACATCTAAAAGTAAATCCAATTGTTATATATACATGTATGTGTACAATGTCTGTACCAATCACGACTAAAGATTAAAGGATACTTATGATTTAATGATAATGAAAATCAAAAAAAGAAAAACTATACTTCATTTGATGACTGGAAATTAATGTATGGGAGTAATACTGGACAGAGAATTTTCCAAATACATGTACATTGTAACTACAATGTACAGCATATAAATGTCTACTGTTTTTCTTTACCTTAAACATACATGTAGCACAGTGGAAGTACATGCAGGTTACTGACTTGCATTACAGAGTATTCTACTTAATCTGATAGTCTAGTTCTTAAACTTTTTCAGACTGATTAACTGAATAACTTAACTGCTCTATTCCAAGTCCATAAGCCTTTCCATTGTTATGATCATTTATCAAATGAGCTTATTTAGATAATCTGCTTTTTTTCCTTGATTTGGCATCATCACATTTAGGTAAAGCATCTATAATCATCTTGGAACAAGTTAACAAATTTCACTGTTTAATAAAATAGTACATGTATTTCATATAAAATCTTGCAAAATGTTCCATGAATTCTAATGTTTAAACATAGTAGCATAAAATATTTTATATACAATTCAAAATCTTATATACAAGTATAATACATCCCCGCTCAGCCAAACCTCACAATAGGACTAAACAATATCCAGAACCTTTGCTGAGGGATGAACAGAGTCCATGGCTCTTTCTGACCTACTTACCTTTAATGAATCCCGGCTGAGCTTGCTGTCAAGTAATACAGAAGAATCTCTTTTATTGTAAATGTGAAAATGGTGGGTTTGTACAGCAGCACCTTGTGGATCTAAATAATACAAAATACAGAACAATATTATAAAGAAAAAGTTTTAGAATGCCAGGTCAGCTTCATCAAGTATTTCATCCAATGTTGTTTTCTTTAACATAATTTGACCCACCATCAAATAAAAAATGTCCAAGGTCTTGATGTTTATCAAGGAAAGCAAGGCTTTTTTGTCTCTAAGTTTGAAGATTGTGGGGTAAATTGATTTCAGTCTGCGTGATTGTCCATCTGTTTGTCAACTTTGACCCTTACTGTAACTTTTGAACTTAACAAGAGACTTCAAAATATACTGTTGCATGATAATTGTGGTATTGCTCTTTTGTAAGGCAAAATGATATAGTTGGTGAAATATGAATAAAAAAAACTGTTTGATATACATAATTTAATCATCTGTCTACAAAAACTTTGCCAAAAGTTATTAATTTTCCCTGCAAGAGAGTAGTACCACAGTTATTGTGAAAGGGCTAATTGGCAAAGTTGAAGGTCAAAGGAAAAAACAGGAGCATTAAATAATGATCACATAACATGGTCAATCATAGTATTATCACAATCAAGGGCATTGTGTATCAAAACACTGCACCTTTTATAGCACAACTAAAATAGACTGCAAATACATGTACATGTACAGTATGTAAAATTTGTATGGAGGCACAAAATGTTGGACAAACACAGACAGAAACAAACTATGGCAGTTACACAGGGATTACAAAAATCAATATCAACCTGTGGGGAAAGCATGCACCCATCTCCTCCTGTTTGATGTCATTTTGAACTGCATCCTAGAGGGAGCAAAAGGGTTGATGAGAGCTCTGCGAGACTTGGCCTGGTAAATATGCTTCCTTGAGTAACCAACAGGAGACTCTGCGCTGCCAACAATTCTCCTCGAGAAATAAGTCTCCTCTGCTTCAAAGGACTCGTTTGATTCCCTACTTGGAACTTTTTCTAATAAACAATACGTAATAGATATAGTTGTAAAGAGCTGCTTAAAATCATTATCTTATTTCAATAATTTTTAGTGTATTCAAAATCATCTTCATCATTTCTGAAATAGATTTAACTTAAGTGATACAGCATCAAATTTAATTCTTTTCAAGTGTGTTTGTAAAAGATACATGAACATGAATAATCTCTTTCTTAATAAAACTGTTAACCAACAGAGGAACATATTACATACTGATGATAGGGTAACATCCAACAGAGGAGGATAAATCCTCACTGCTGCTGGAGCGGGCCAGGGAGGGGATGTTGATGGCAGGTGATCCCCTCCTCTCCCCCTTCTCCACCACCACACTAGGGTAGTCATCGGATACATTTCTTTTACGAGGTTTCTTTATCTGTTTGGCCTCGGCCAATGTCTGGGGCTGTCTTCTTGAGTGGTAGGGACTCTTTAGAGACCTAAAGCAGAGGAGGTAGAAAATCTAGCGACACTTACAAAAACTTTTGCTACAAAGTACAACTATGTCAGGTTTTGTAGTGGCATTTCAATACTTTTTATGCTATAAAAGCACAGAGGAAATAATGAGGAAATTGTAAGAGATATGTTACAAATATACTGAAAAGCAGTGTGCTTACCCAAATCTAGTTGAATTGGGGGTGGGGAGTTTCCAGATTTGAGCATCATACTCATCATAATCTACAAATGGGAAATTCCTGGAATCTTCATCCTCTGCCTGATTGTTTGAGGGACGGGCAATTAGTTCTAGGGGGTGACAAGAAATAAACAATGTATACATGTATATGTGGTATACATAATACATTGTACCATCAAATTCTGCATTACTGTTTACAACTTTTTTTCAGCTGTAAATACATTTAAAAGGGTAAAACAAAATTCTAACACTAGAGAAAAATTGATGCTATGCACATTAAAATACAACCACATTCCTCAAAATCAGACAGATGTTTAATTTGTATAAACATTTTTCTTTCTATGAACAAAAGGTTTGTACATTATACAGAATACTGATTTTGTTTTAGTTATGCATAGCAGTTTATTTGCTTACTTCTTTCACTAGGTCTTCTCTGATCTTCATACTTAAATTAAAAAACATTTTTAAAATATATCCATTTGGAAAAATAAAAAGGCAACATACAGTCATCTTACAATCAAGTTAACATAAGTCATGAAACTATAATTTACTTAAGGTATGTCACTCGTCAGCTTTTTAGAAAAGTTCAGTCAGAACCTTTAACTTCAAAACTATTTATTACAAATCAATATTTATAACATATTTGAATTAAATAATGCAAATTATTCAACATTCAAATAAAAAACTGCTCAAAAATTCATAAGAAGCAAGATTTATGAAGGACTATTTCTTGTGGTGGAAGGATATTTAGAAGAAAATTCTTCAAATCTACACCTTTGCTGAATTTGAAATCTTGGAACTTTAGCCCCACATATTTTTACTTAGAGAATATTTTCCGTTATGATATGCTAAGAATATTAAATATAGGTCTCAATTTATATTTTTAGAACTAATTTTACACATTCACTTAACAGACTTTGCCAAGAAATGAAGATATATCAAAGAAGTCAAGATAAAATTTACACTGTTTTTTGCTTGAAAATCGCACATTTTGACCAATATCTCAAAATTTACATCACTGACCCCAACTTTTACTTTCAATATTTTAAACAGCATGATACTTCCAACCGATCAGCACTTAAGACATATAAAGTTTGATACAAGAAAATATTTATTGCCTAATTAGATTTTTATTACCCCAAAGATGATATATTTTTAGTGCAAAAAGGTCACACAATAATTTATGCACATTAATTTGCATGATTTGTTCCAATATAAATTTTATTCACACTATTTTATGTAAAATAAGATTATATTTATTGTCGTAATTACATCTGATAAAATATGATAAAAGATAAAAGTGATTAACCAAAGAGTTAAAATATAAGTGCAAAAGGGTCATTTTCATTGTACGGTAGCTCAGCAAGATGCACACTGACCCCCCATTTTCTTTGCGATTTTGAGTCATGCTATATGAGTGCTTATCTAAAATATACTTCTCAAAAAATCCTTGATATAACTAATTTCACGAGTGACATATCTTAATATATTAAGTGTATTAACACATTTAATTTGTTTAGAATAAGACACAAATTTCTCTACATTTTCCTTAGTCTCCTTCTCAGATTATAATGCTTACAAATTCTGGGGGTGGTTTAATTCTTGGGATGAAGGATCCTTGTAAACGTGCTTTTATTTGACTTTTGGAGATGTAAAAACTGAAATTGTCAAAAACAGATGGCTATTAAAGAAATCTTTACATGCAAATGAAATCTTTAGTACCAATACTTAAAATGTTTACATGTACACGTAGTTAAGAAATAATGTATTTTAAAAACTTTTATTCGGATGTACATGTAAATACTGGTTGGTATGTGATCAAATCTACCATAAAGGGATTTGATCACGTGACCAGCCTGTACACATATCAACATTCCATTAAATGTTAAAAAAAATGATATTTTATTATTTATATTTACAATTGTGACTGCTTTCTAACAAATATTTGCATACTTTAGTTTTAAACCAATGAAATTATATTTATTTTTCGAACCTCAAATGTATACATATGTAAATTCAATGTGTTGAACATGTCGTCTACTTATGGCATCACTGTGAAATTACACTGATGGTTAATGACTTAACAATGTAATTATAGGCTGTGTTATATCAGGGAAAACATTTACAAATGTAAATATATATAAATGAAGTTGATTGCAATCAGATTTAGTGTTGTTACCTGTGATTCATCCAGTGCGGTATGTTGTAATCGTCTCCCACCTCTAATGATGTCTTGGCATGCTTGTTATGGAACTGTATGAAGAAAAAAGGTGCCCATACATTGATCATTAAAACATCATCAAATAACATGTAGATTATCTATAGAAACATACCTTGAATAGGGGGGCAGCATGAAGGGGTTGTTCTCCCATACACACCAAGTCACTGCCCACCCCTGTATAAAGAAAAACAGGAATATGAAGTTTAATCCAGAAATGCTACTTTCTTTAGCATTTTAACATTGAGGGTCATTCTTTTTCTGATGTTGTTTTCACTTTACATTCTATTTCTGCTTCATAGTTACTTGGTTAACAATTCTTAAACTTAATTAACACATGTATATGTAAAATTGCCTAAAACAAAAATCCTCACACCAAAAAATACATGTAAATTGGTATTGTTTGAACAACATAAAACATAAAGAATATTGCTTTTACATGTATATTTATCAAGAACTGGGTGCTCAGACTTTGGTGCTGAATGTGGAGGATTAATAATAGTGTGTATGACTGCACAATATTTTAGAGGTACAAGTATGAATATACAGGTTACATGGTACTATTTTAAAACTACAAAGTTGATTTTCTAACAAATTACTTACCACAATCAATGGTCCTTTGCTTGGTGATATTGGCTAGTTCCCTGTCCACCTCAAACACACCAGCTCCCGGGGTGATCACCACAGCCACCTTACCAGTTCTATCAAAGTTCCTGTCAATGTAGTAGCCCTCAAACACTGCAAAGTAATACAGATTCATGTATTTAGGTTAAAAAATTCATTTAGGCAAATATCATACATATATAAGAAAAAGTTTGATACAAGCAATGAACCATAATCTAAGGAAAATTAACTCTTTTAATTTTACACTTTCAGGATCCAGTTGTATCAATATTTAATGAATGTTGACAATTGCAATAATTTCCAGATCCATACAAAATAAAAAAATCTAAACATAAACTTACAGTTCAGAGACATGTTGAGTGTCTCCAGGAAGTTGCCCTGAGCTGCTGTGGAGTTGTACGCTGTCGGGACTTTCTGCCCTCTCTGTTTATGGTAGTTCAGAATCTTCTCTTTATACGAATTACAGAGTTTACGTAGAAGCATCATAGTGGACGTCCAGTCATCATATCTCTCATTCTGTACTACAATCCTTCATACAGAAAAATGCCCTCAATAATATTCAGAATTCATTACCAGATTGTATAAAGAAAGATATTGTAATACATCAAGACACTTTCATATGATACTACTTGCTATCAACGACTGTAGGTGTGGGACAATTTTTACTCTCAACTTACCTATAAAAGTCCTGGTAATATCTCCCCTTGTAATCACACACAATACAGTCTCTCATATATTCTGGGAATTCCTCTACATTCAGACAAAAATATACATTATAACAAATAATTTGTTCCCCAAACCATTTTACACATTCCATAGTATTAAATTAAGGTATGAGGATTTGACCATACCACACGGCATGTTACATGGTCTTATAGTAACCAGGGGTGTGCAATTACAAAAATTAGTTACTAGTCCGTCGGGCTAGTGGCAGTAACAAAGTTACTAGCCCGTGGTTGAAAGTCACTAGCCCATTAACTACCGAAAACAATACATGTATAAGTATAACAAAAAGGAAAAAAAAAAACACATTTAAGTTGAAATAAATAAAACAAATAATGGTTTGCGCTTTGAAATTGTCAGGTACTTCTCCCTATTTTTATCGACTGTAAGTGTCACTGAAACGACTGGCGATAACAACACACAATACATATAGGTTAAAACGAATTTAAGATTATGATTTTACAACGAAGTTAATTCATACATCAATTCAGTCAACGTAAATATACGAATAGTTTCGTTTTAGATTTACTAGCCCCGACAGGCTAACGCAGTATAGATTTATGATAGCCCGACCTCTTAAGTTGGTAGCCTCGGGCGTCGGGTGATGGTAATTGCACACGCCTGGTAACACGAAGCAAATCAACAGTAGTAACTTTAAATGCATAGGAAATTATTTACATGTATTGTGGTATTTATTCTTGTCATCTTGTAAATAAAAAATCAAGTATCTTACCTAAAGACTGAGCTTTATAAAATGTTCTTGAAAACAAAACAATTGTAACATCATGAAGACAGTTCTGCTCCTGTTGATGATTAAAACAAAATGTTTCAGTGTGCTTAACACATCCTGGTTTCAGTAGTATCTAGAACACAGTAGTATATTTTACCTTCCATTTGGCAAACAGGTCAGTATATTTTACCTTCCATTTGGCAAACAGGTCAGTAAGGAAGCCATTGAGAGCTTTCTCAAAGTAAAGATCTTCTCCCAGAATGTCAAAGTCCCACATCTCACTGCTCATCTGTATAAAGATCTGTACAACAGCTGTCGAGGATCTGTACACAATCTGAAGGACCAGTATTCAGTAAAACAAAGAGGATATACATACATTATTTCCCATGTAGCTTGTAACACAAGCTTTGATTGGATACAAAGTCAGGTGTAAATTTCTGTATACCTGACTTGAGCCGGGGGCAAAAAAAAACGTGACGTCACAATGCATAGTTTCTCTATGATAAAAAGCAAAATAACATGACATCAGGTTGCATTGTAGGACGTGGTATAATCTTATCGATAGCTTGAAACACAGTTGATTTGACTTGTTTACAAAGAATTTATTTGGGTATAGGAAATAAATTCGTTATCCAGGTCCAATCAAGGGTGTATGGGGATTTACCCCGGGCTGTATTCCATATACCCTGCTGTCTCAGGGTGTATGGAATAAAACCCAGGGTAAATCCCCATACACCCTTGACTGGACCTGGATAACTAATAATGTACATGCACAGATCTCAATAGCTTGGCAATATGGTTTCTCTCATGATATTCAGTTCCTCTGATCTTACATTTATCTGATTATTTTCCAATATATTTTAGAGATATATACTCAGGCATGTAATGAGTTAGATGTAAGTACCCTGGTGTCCTCTGTTATTGTTCCACACATGACCCTCTCTCCTTTAGACCACATCTCCATTACCTGAGGTCTTAAAAGAACCAGAGTCTTAGTACACTGCATCTATTTTTACTAATTTCAATATTTTTTTTATATCAAATATATTTTGAAGCAGAATTTTTGTGATATGTCATTTGTCACTTACTAAAGCTGAAATTCTTTCTGAAAATACATGTATTTTTGATGAATGGTTTTTAGTTTCATTTCTACAGTCACTTCCAAGTAATCCTAACTACAAGCTTATTACAGGGTGTTTTTAAAAGAAAATTGAACTGAAGATTAGCTACATGTGTCTCAGTTACCTCATTTCAGCATGCTCTATCTTTTTGTTGAGATAGACACAGCTGTTAATGATTCCATTCCTCAACCTCCAGAAATCGCTGCGGCTAAAGTACTGATCCTTAAACAGCATCTCAACCAGGTCCAAAGCCACACTCTGAAAAGACACATTAGACAATCGATCAGCTTTAAAAAGAAGTACAATGTACACATATGTATCAAGTTTTACAAATGAATATCATGTAGCAGTATTTTGGGTCAACATTCTTCTTCTACTTGTTTTATAAATGAAGTATAATTTAACAGTACCTTTGGGTCAAGTTTTTTAACAATGACATCTTTGTATGCTCTAAGCTGGAATGTTGAAGCAATGTTTTGTGCAATGCTTACAGTTCCTATAACAAAATATTGATGTTCATGTAGTACATTTACATTTTGAAACCTTATTGTAAAGCATACCTTTCAAGAGTTTATTCTTTATCCTACTAAAATTAACTATGGCTAATTCATATATCTTATTTAAGAATGTGTAGTTTTGATTACTTTGTCACTATATAAATCATTCTATCAATATTTGATATTAATGTTCACTAATAAAGCATAACAATACCTTTGGGTTGAAATTCATCTGATAAAGATGCAACTTGCAATAGGAGGCGACTTTAAAAAAACGAAAGATAGATGTGTTTGAGAAATAAATCCCTACAGAATTCATCTTGAAAGCAAAATGTTAAACCCGAGTTTTTTGTCAAATTTAATTAAAGTTTTTATTTTCAAAAAAAAAATAAAAATAAATAAATAAACAGATTAATTAATTTAAAAATGAAGTTCTAATTCTTATCTTTATAGAACTCTGCTTGATGCAGTTATGCTTGTCATTTTATTTCAATGCAATTAACAAATGACCCATATGTTTCACTGTCTCACATTCTGTCTGTTATCACCTGATCATGCATCGTCAACATCAAAATCCACTTTGGACATATACTGATGAGGAAACTATTTACATGCAAACAGTGAAATGTTAATGTCCAGATGTAAAAATCTATGAACTAACCATCATACTTCCACAATGGTTTTAATTTCAAGCTGGTCCAGCACAATCTCTTGATTTTAGCTATATAGCTTGAATTAGCCATATAACTTTCTTTAGCTATTATAATATCTTGATTTAGCTATTTTATCACACTTTTCCCTTAAATATGTTAATTTTTTCAACCTGTACCAAAAGTTGCATCTTGCATGCATGTAAACATTGCTTATCAAATTGTGTCTCCTTCGGAGACTTTGTATTCAAAGTTCTAAAACATTTGAGGCTATATAAAGCAATTGATTTGTGACCTTAAGCTAGCTCACAGTTACTTGTTGAATGAAATTATATAGGAGGTCAATTATGCTTAACAAGATAATTTATTGGTAATAATTCAGCACAATGTGAAGCATTCATACTTATCCATGCCTCAATGCACACAAGTGTACATGCAGTTATGATATTAGTCATCTTATGCTTAAAAGTATTCAAATGCTGCAATGTTAGAATGTACTATCTTTGATTTGGGTTGCTTTTTTGATAGTCCATAGGACACATATGAATAATCAAAAACTTGCAACTTTTTATCTATTCTCACAAAAAAAAAAACACTTCTGTGAAAAACTGCATATAAATAGCTTTTAAGCTTTATCAAGCTATTCTCTTTATGTCCAGAGTAATAGAAATAAAAACTAACCTTTCCTCATCCTCAATATGATAGATTTCAACAACATCACCAACTGCTACATCTGGCACATCTTTTTGATTGATCAAGATTTCTTCATCTAAAATATGCAGACATATATTTTTTTTTATAAATAAGATGAAATATAAAACAATGATGCACCATTTCCTTTAACGCATAAAAGTTTATTTATGTCGGTGTTAAAAGAAATCCTACTGATACTGCTATTTTCGCTATAGTTTCTCTTATGAACTCTCAAATTCAACGTTTTGGCCATTGCTTCTCCATTGCAATTTTCATCTTCAATGTTTTACAGACGCGTTTGTTTTAAAGCAAAACTGGATAATATAAAACGCAAAAAAGAATCAGATTATTTCTTAAGCCCGAAAGTCATGAGGAGAGCATCATTGCTTTCAAATACTTGTTGGATGATCAAATCCTTATCAAGACGTAAGTGAAATTATCCAGAAATACTTACATTTATGAAAAGCTTGCTTTTAACGACTTAAAAAAGAACACGAAAGTGATAATGTTTATAAGACTCGTAGTGAAAAGTTTTTTCCTAGAGGAAATTCGAACTTGCTTATAGTTTTATGTAAATTGGATGCTCTTTAAAATTTCTTTAAAAGATCCTTCAGTTCTAGAGTAGATCATCATGGATACTATGTAATTGTTATTTTCTATTGGAAATTAAACTTTTTTTGATTTTGCTTGTAGTTTTGAAGGAATCAACCATTTAAGATAAAAAGTGTAGATTCTGTAACGGGAAACCTGTACGTTTCCATGTTAATCCAGATTCAGTGATTTACAGAGAGAAACACATTTTTAAAGGTTAACAAAGGTTTATTAATGAAATAAATAAATAAATAAGTTACAATTAACAATATTACAAGTCTAGGGGATGGTGGATACCTACTCGCAGCTTGTCTCAGTCTAGCACTCATCTAATCTGGCCGTTGCGAACGTCACGGTGGTCAGGCCAGACGTTGTCCCGAACGGCCTGACACACACGCAAAGTTGGCAACGAACCCGACATTAAATGTAGTATAATAATAATATAATAATAGTATAATGTTACACAACACAATATTACAATAATTATTCATATTAATACGTGACTAGATACATTGTAATAAATAACAAAGATTTAATAACATATATAGACACTATAAATCATCCACCATTATGATTACAATTCTATCAGGTCTAGGAAAATCACTATATTTAGCTATATAGCTAAATCTACCTATATAGCTTTATTTACCTATATAATATAGCTTTATTTAGCTATTTCAGAGTAAATTTCTGTTTTATGAAAAGCAGACAAAAAGTCGCATAATGAGGCAGTATTAGTTTTCAACTTTGAAATGGACTGAAAACAATTCACCAAAAACCCACTTTTAAAAATGTTTCTCCTTTTGTGCAATTGCAATCAAAGATCTTAAAGTTTTGGGGCTATGTATAACAGTTTATCTGTGAATAAGCAGCTACTTTAACAAAGAAAAGCAGTTTTGGTCAACAAGATAATTGATTGGTAATAATTCAGCACAATGCAAGGCAATCACACTTAGTCATGCCTCATCGCACTTCCAGCAGGGTTTGACACTTACTTTTTAAGGCTTTAGTCCAGCCGGACTAGTGCTTCATTACTTTTACTAGTCCGCACGCAATTTTATTAGTCCGTCAAAAAAAAAAGGAAAAAAAAAAAAGAAACATCAATGTTTTTTAACATTAATTTAACGTGACAATTAATATATGTATTATTTTTTTAAATAAACAATAAACAAAGTATTTATATGAAATTAATATATTATTCCACAGATTCATTGAAATCTCGCAATCAGCAAGTATACGATCGTATTCCCGATCTCGTTTTTTATTTATTTATTTTTTTTTTTGTCTTAACATTACATCTAAAACGTCCAAAATCTTTCTTTAAAGTGTCATACTAAATCATGATTGCTAAAACCTTATACTTCATATCGATCAGTCGAAAAATTAAGCGCTGAATTGACCCAGCATTGCGTAACTACCCGCCAAAAGCTGGAAATCTAAAAATACACGCGGGGTTTTCCAGTAAAAGTTGTCGAGAATCGAACATCGGTAATTTATTGATATTGTTTTTCAGAAATTTTTATTGGTCCGTTCGGACTTATTAGCCACATATTTTATTAGTCCGAATGAAAATGTATTAGTCTGAGACTAACGGACTAAGGTTAGTGTCGAACCCTGCTTCCAGTAATGGACAGCTATCCAAACAATAGAGATGCATTTTTTGGTTAAAAGGTGTTTAAAAGAGGCAATGTTTTTACTATCTATGCCCTAGGATGTTTTTATCAAACCTTTTTAAAAAAATATCAGCCATAATTTTCATGCGACTTTTTGTTTGCTTTTCATAAAACAGAAACTTATTCTAAAATAGCTAAATAAAGCTATATTATATAGGTAAATAAAGCTATATAGGTAAATTAAGCTATATAGCTAAATATAGTGATTTTTCTGGACCTGTCTATTGTATCATATGGGTACTGGAAGTTAATGTAAATATATATTATGTGCATGTCTTTTTTGTACATGCACATGCTACATATTGACATTAAGGTGGTATGGGATACCAAACAAAACTTCTCCTACATATTTATGTACCCAAATTAGAAGGATTTGAAATACCCCCACCTTTCAGTATATTAAAGTGTAATTTTAATAATTTTTTAATTATTTTAATGAGAAATACAAAAACGATTTTTTTCTTGCATAATTCTTTTTTCATAAGCTTAATATTATAGGCAGGCGTTTGCTAATATAAAGTGTTTATAAAAACAAAAATGACAAGAAATATGTCTTAGTATTTTTTTTAATTTTCAACAAAAAATAAGCGTTAAAAAACTGGGAAAACTTTATTTCTTGAAAACAGACGGATAACATTTCATGAAAGTCTACAATAAGAATGTATCTTGATATGTTAGCAAAGTGAAATAAACAAATTGAAAATATATATATAAATGGAAAATATAAAATGCATTTAAAATTTTTTGAATTTAAAGATCCGAGCGGAAGAGTTATCCTTCTTTATTTTCCAAGGGTTGAAAAAACCTGGGTGCTATTTTAGAAATGATGAGCATTTTTTCCCAACCATAAAAAAATCGCACTTTGTAGTTTTCAACTTTGAGCGGTTTTGAAAACAATGCATGGACAATCGCTTTCCAGGACGTGTCTTGTTCAGAGCAGTTGCATTCATCTGAACGTTTTGGGACTATATACAACAGCTAGCTGATTTGTGACCAAACAGTTACTTCTTGAATTAAATAACAAAAAAGTCCAGCTCTGGTTAACGTGATAATTGATTGGTGATAATTCAGCACAATGTGAAGTAATTGCACTTATCCATGCCTCACCGCACACAAGGTGCTGTACAGTTACTCAAACAATTGAAATACAGCTTTTGCTTAAAAGTGTTCAAAACGTTGAAATGTTGAAACTACCTTTTACAGGGGTTTGCTTTTTTAAATGTCCGTTGTACAATTATAAGTAAATTTATATACTTGCGATTTTTTTGTCTGTTTTTACTTAAAATGCCGACTTGTGAGAACTTGCATTGAAATAGGCTTCAGAGTGTTCTTTTCAACGGTGTATCTACAAATTTTGACCCGATAATAAGCACTCATGCGAATCAAAACAATACTTCAAACGGAAATACGTCATAACGTGGAGGTATCCCATACTACCTTAACTTCCAGTGATGTGGTATCATTTTATCATGCAGTAGACAGATATTCTTATCAGTGTGGCAGCTATAGTCGAGATTCAATTAAATTGACAGTGGCCATATAGCTTAATTATTTGGTTAGAGCACATGATTTGTGATGCAGGGATCATGGGTCCTATTCCTGGTCCAGCCATACATTTTTTTCCTTTCCTGTTACATAATTTGGTGCCTTTGACCACCCCTGGAATCACGTGAAAGTCCTGCCAGGGGCAGAAAAGAACTTGGGTTGTGTCTTCAGTGGTTGTATGTTCGTTCCCCCTAAAATTTGTTTGCCCTTGACTCTGTTCACCCTTATTCTCATTCGCCCAGAGTCCGATCGCCCTAAAACTTGTTCGCACAGGGTCCGTTTGCCTTATTTATATTGCAGAAAGTTAAATAATTAACCAATGGATTTTTTAAAATAAATTATATACCTGTCCTATCAAAGACCCGACAGATCAACCACAGGCCTCTGAATTTCTATCAATAAGCCATTATATGATTGATCAGAGTGATATATATACCCCCTCTGTATATGAATACATGTGTTTTTATTTATAGAGGGGGTATATATATCACTCTGATCAATCATATAGCGGCTTATTGATAGAAATTCAGAAGCCTGTGGACCAACAGAAATTAACCTCTCAATCCTTTCATTGTTTTCAAAACATAACGCAGATTGTAAAAAAAAAAACAAAACAAAACAAAACACCGATATGATCTCCTAAATTACATTGACATTATTAACAGCTGATTAAGTATAATGAAGCCAATTAAGCATGTAAAAAGCATTAATATCAAATGTGAATTATTTAATTAAGATTCCGGTAAAAAAAAAAAATACTGTATCAGCATTTGAAAAAAAAACACCAAGTCATAAAATATTGAGTAAAATTAATAATAAATGTTAATATTTACTATATATTGTATATATATTAGGGCGAACGAGATATAGAGCGAACAAGAATAATGGCGAACGGACCCTGCGCGAACGGACTCATGCGAAGAGGTAGATAGGGCGAACGAACCTGATACCTGTCTTCAGTGCAAAGACCTTTAAGGAGGGAGGAATGTGGTAGTCAGATAGATTTGATCACTAGTGGCCAGATAACTCAGTTGGTAGAGCACCTGACTCGTGATTTAGGGGGCCCGGGTTGAATCCTGGTTTGTTCTGTCATATTTTCTCCTTGATCTTAGCTGATACAGTTGGTGCTGTGCCATGCCCTGGAAGTGACAGGTGAAAGACCTGCCATTAAAGAGTCTAGTGGGTTTGGTGTCTTTGGGAGCAAAGACCTTTAAGGAGGAAAGAATGTGGCAGTCAGTACAGATTTGATCTCCAATAGTCATATATGGCTTAGTTGGTTAAAGCATCTGATTAGTGATTCAGAGGTCCCAGATTCAATTCCCAGTCCAGCCATACATTTTCTCCCTTCCTGTTAAAAGCAAATTGAAAAAATCTCAGAATATTTTACTTTAAATGAAATTTCTTAATACTTGTACAATATGCTTAATATAAATGGAACAGTTTGCATTTAGACAAATGGTTACAATACAGATAATAGGTACACATGTACTTGATTTTATGCCAATCTGTTTCATAGTCACACACCTTCTTAATTTCTACTGGTAAATAAAACCATATTTAAAGAATAAAACAGAACACCAACACTTCATGAGAATGCAGCAGTAAATTTATTTTTTGACTGGTTTTGACCCAAGACATCATCAGAACAATCAACATGATCAAGCATGTAAATTTATTTATTGACGTAAAAAAAAATGCAGACAACATTGCTATAAACAAAATAAATGTGTAAACCTTCTTACGAAGTGTTGGTGATCTGTTTTATGACTTTAAGTTTACAACTTTAGGTACAGACCCAATTGAATACTGTTCAGTGTCCAGACATGGGAATCTAGCTTCCACATTTCCAACCTTAAGGTGTTGGTTTTCAGGTTGTTTTTGTAAAAGTATATTTTTCATATGGTATGTAGTATAAAAGTTGTAATGTTTTATATAATTTAAGAGACTTCTTATGATCTGTTTAGGTGTAAAAACATTCTGACAGGATCCTGGATTGAGTTATGTATTAGAGTGCTCTATTGAAATTTGTTAAAATTTTATTTTGTCCTATGAACCACTTGAAGGCCTGTCCCAAGACATAGTATACAGATTGTTTTAATCAGGGTTGCATGTGATTAATGCAATCATTGATAGCGAAATTTATTGGCTTTGTTAACTTAATTTACATCATTTAAGATTTTTTCATACCTCACTGTGAGACCTTTGACTGTATTATATAAATGCCTTTTAAACTCTCAATGAATTAAAAAAAAAATATGCTAGGTATGAAGACAAGTTTTCATAAAATCTAGTTGTCATTAAAATTATATAATAGGTATGTATTTTTGGAATATCTTTCATATTTATTCTAATTTCTGCAGTTTAAAAAAAAGATTGATTCTAGTAGCACCAGGATCATCCCACTTTGTTCATGCTGATTGCCTTAAGAATATTATTGCCTTTACAACCCTCTTTAATAAAAAATAATAATTTTATTTTTAGCACAAAATTATGTTCAAAGTGCAAGCTATATGAAGATAAAGACACTTCCAAATTATGATGGTAAGTAGTTTATCATCTTTTTCATGTTTATAGGAATATATTATACATGTACAATTATGGACTTAATTGTAGGTCGATATGTGGTTATAAGGACCCATGTCAAGAGATATTGACCAAAGACACAGAGAGTGATATCGACCAAGCTTGCAATGCCAATATCACTTTCTGTGTCAGGAGTCAATATCACTCGATATATGTTCTTATAACCATGTGTTGACCATACATTGAAATCCATAATAGTCAAATTCTTATGCATGGTTTCAAAGTGCTGGGGCATTTCTTTGGAATCTAAATATTCACCTAAAGTGTTTACTGCTAGTTTGATAATTGTTCAATTATTTTCGCTGTCACACTCTCCATAATATTTTCAAAGTACTAGGATTGGCCAAAAAATGTTTTGACTTTGACAAAGTTGAGATGATCTTTTGCTATATCCCCTCGTCCACCCATGTCAACATTGTTGTCCCTGTTTAATTTTTAGGAGCAAGTCCATTCCCAAGTAACTATAAGCCCTATGCCAACCAAACTTGCATGGATGATGCATCTAGGAATGCATACTACTAGTCTTCCTTTGGATGCTGGATCTGACTTGTATTTTCTGGCTGAATTATGAGATTAAAGGTTTTGGAGCAGGTCCATTCTGTAAGCCCAATGGTGACAATACTTGTATGGATGATGACGCTTCTAAGGATGTGTACTACCAATTTACCAAACATGCTTCTTGTGTATAATTTGAACTTCTGTACATTGTATATTCTCCAGTGACCAGGTTAAAGTTTTTGGAGCAGGTCCATTCCTAAGTGACTATAAGTGGTATGGTGACCAAACTTGCAATAATGATGCATCTCAAGTTGCACACTACCATACATGGTTCAGATCCTTTATTATGCCCCGCCATGAATATGGCCGGGGCATATAGTGTTTGTCATGTTCGTCTTCCGTCCTTTTGTCCTTCCGTCCTTCTGTCTGTCCTTCCGTCACACTTTAGCTCTGTTAGCTCTGTTCAAAGCTCAGTTCCAAAGAAACTATCCAAGATATTTTTATCAAACTTCATATGCTGATAGATATTGATGAGAGCTATGCAACTGCATCAATATTTTTCGACCTTGACCTTTCCTTTGACCTTGACCTCACTTTTCTTAAATTAGTGTTTAGCTCAGTTTTAAAGATACCATTCAAGATAGTTTAGTCAAACTTCATATGTTGATACATACTGATGTAAGCTATTCAAGTGCATCAACATTTTTTTACCTTGACCTTTCTTTTGACCTTGACCTCACTTTTCTTTAATTAGTGTTAAGCTCAGTTTTAATGAAACCATTCAAGATATTTTTAACAAACTTCATATGCTGATACATACTGATGAGAGCTATTCAACTGTATCAATATGTTTCACCTTGATCTTTCGTTTGACCTTGACCTCACTTTTCTTTAATTAGTGTTTAGCTCAGTTTTAAAGAAACCATTCATAATATTTTTATCAAACTTCATATGCTAATACATACTGATGTAACCTTTTCAATTGCATCAATAATTTTTGACCTTGACCTTTCCTCTGACATTGACCTCACTTTTCTTAAATTAGTGTCAAACTTCATATGCTGATACATACTGATGTAAGCTATTCAACTGCAGCAATATTTTTTTACCTTGACCTTTCCTTTGACCCTATATACACCCTCGGTGGGGCATTCATGTCCTATGGACATATTTCTAGTTTGAACTACATTGTACATTTTCTGGATGAGTGACCAGGTGAAAGGTTTTGCTGGAGGTCCATTCCCAAGTAACTGTAAGTGGAATTGTGATCAGACTTGCAATAATGATGCTTCTCGAGTTGCACACGACCAGACATGTTTCAGATCCTGGATCTGACCTACACCTTCTGGATGAGTGACCTGGTGAAAGTTACTGGAGCAAGTTCCAATCCCAAGTATACCAGGTATATAAGCCCTATGCATGAATGATGCATCAAAGGATCAGTCTCAGTGCCAGCCCGGAGCTGACCGAGTGACCAAATTACCGGTAAAGGTTTTGGAGCAGGTCCATTGATAAGAAGCTATAACGCCTACTTGGACCAAATTTGAATGGATGGTGCATATAGGAATTCACATTTACTAGACATGCTTTGGATACTGCATTTGACCTACCTGGATGAACTGATTTACATTTTCCATGTGATAGAAACAAAGATTTTTAGGAGGATTATAAATCCTACCAATACTAAACTTGCATGGGTGCATCTAAGGATGCACATTACCAGATCATTGATTTAGTATGAGACATTGTCTTCACTTAAAGATGAAATTTGTCGAGGTGAGCTTTGTATTCTTTGATTACCATTTTTTTTTTACGTTAGAACGGTAAATTACACATGTTGTACGTTAACATACCGGTATTCCACATTTGCCCTTTTTGCATCAACATTAAAACTGACGAATATCACATGATGTCTTATCAGCCAATGAAAATTAAGACAATAATCTATTTATATACCTGGTAATAGCAGTCAAGTATCTTCAGAAATGGTCAAACCATATTAAATTTTGCAAAATATTTGATAATGAATTGTTATAGATGCACAAGACTTGTATTCTCTTGTCCAGTAACTTTTGACTTTCATCTTCGAAATTTTATCCAATTTGTACTTGTAATATCTTACCATGTTCTCCCTATTAAGTATCTTGGGTGCTTAGAAAACTGCAAAAAGGGGGCAGTTATTTGGTAGTTGTGTTGAAATTAAATGAACTGATTGTTTCAAAAGTTAATTCAAGTGTATGCCCTAACAATATTAATCAAAAGTTTTATGGGTAAAACAAGTTGTTCAAGATTGTGTCAATCACTCTTGCTCCGCTCACATAGGTCAGTGGCATGGTCAATTTAATCGAACATATTCCGATTTTCAATATGTTTTGCATTAATTTTGCATGTAGATCTGATGGATTTAGAAAATTCTGATGAGACCATAAGTTAATAAAGGGGATCCCTTATTCTAAGACGATCGGAAAATACCTATACCGGGGTAGGGGTGTTTAATAGGGAGAATACGGTAATAGATATAACAAATATGCATGATAAGCAATTCTTGTGTTTTTGCGGATCAGATATAGAATTTCCTGAGAAGAAGAAATTGCGATTGGTTGATAAAACACCCCAACCTGTTAAGAATACTAACAGTCATGTAGCAGTACAACAGAGGAGTGAGGCTAAATACTGCAGAGGACCAGATGTCATCAACAACAGGCTTATATATGGGCAATACGGAGTACAGGTAACTGATATATGAGTAATATGAAGTACAGGTAACTGTTATATGGGCAATACGGAGTACAGGTAACTGATATATGGGTAATATGGAGTACAGGTAACTGATATATAAGTAATATGGAGTACAGGAAACTGGTATATGGGCAATACGGAGTACAGGTAACTGATATATGGGCAATACGGAGCACAGGTAATTGATATATGGGTAATATGGAGTACAGGTAACTGGTATATGGGTAATATGGGGTACAGGTAACTGGTATATGGGTAATATGGAGTACAGGAAACTGATATATGGGTAATATGGAGTACAGGTAACTGGTATATGGGTAATATGGAGTAGTGATTCAGCGATAGTCGCCGACGATCGAAAAATCGTCGTTGAAAGCTTGGCGATGCCGACAATCGATAGCATAGCACCAAAATCGATAGTCGCTATATATATAGCTACTTTAAGCATAATGCTAAATCTTAATATATATTATCTTTTTAGGTAGTGTTTCCTTTTTATCCTTTTGTACAAAAAAGTCACACTAATTATTTTTATGTATCTTCCATGTGCACACATACAATGTGTCCGTTCGCCTGTACTAAACAATGCATTAAACTGAGTCAGTGAATGATTCGTAAAAATGCTTTGAAAAATATCATAATGACTAAATCTAAATAAAATTCCCTTCCATTAATGCAAGTCATAATTATTTTATGCAACGAAAGAACTGACGACGAAATAAAGCTATCAAGAGCACCACTCTCAAAAACATCGTTTTTTAACCTGAATTTCCTCTGCTCTCACACTTGAAACGATATTTACAACTTTCAACTCACATTCTGTGTATTATTTTTTTTTTTACAGTTTAAACAATTATAGGTCAGTCAGAAGTGAAACACAAAACTAGTGTGTTTTTTTTTTATTCTATAAAACGAATGCACAAGAAGTATTGGTATTTTTATTGTGCATACCCATATGCTGTGTCAGGGACCTATATACTAGTATATAGGTCCCTGGCTGTGTATACAAAAATTATTTCTCTGAATAAACTGATAGATTCAAATATGATTAACATTAAGAAGGTAGACAATTTGTTGAACTGTTCTTTATATAAACAGGAATAAATTAAAAAAAAAAAAGAAGAAAATTTATCTTTTGAAAAATCAAAATTTTTAAACAAATTAATTTATCATCTTATCAGTAATTTAGTATAAACATGATTAATGTCATAACAAATGAAGCACTTTGTTTACATAGTTATCAGTTAAATAATAATATAAAACTAAAATTCCTTTTTATTGGACTGAAATTTAAGTAAGTGTAATTCTTTCCTTTAATAAATATAGTAAAATATCAGCAGATTCATTAAAACTTAAATACAGGCCTACATCTTTACTTATCAGTTATATTTAGACACTAGTGCCTATAACTATAAAACATAATACAGGGCTTTTAATTATGTAAATAAAAAGAAACATAAGAAATCTGAAATGTCCGATTATTTTCGATTATGAATCGAAATGGTGTTTCCGATTCGATTCGATAATCGATAGTGTTTTCCGTCCGATTCTGAAACACTAATATGGAGTACAGGTAACTGATATATGGGTAATATGGAGTACAGGTAACTGGTATATGGGTAATATGGAGTACAGGTAACTGGTATATGGGTAATATGGAGTACAGGTAATTGATACATGGGTGATATGGAGTACAGGTAACTGGTATATGAGCAATATGGAGTACAGGTAATCAATATAAGGACAATTTGAAGTACAGGTCACCAATATTTGGACAATATAGAATGCAGGTAACTTACATGTGGACATTATTAAATGAAGAACAAGTAACTGATACATGGACAATATGAAGTACATGTATAAGTAACAAATAGAATTACAAGAAACTGTTATATGGGCAGTTTGGAACAGAAGTTACTGAAATCTTAAAATAATGAGACACCGATGTTGATACATTTTGCAATTTGATAAATTGTATAAATCTTGCCTTGTCCATTTATACCAGTATGATGAAGATACCATTCTGTGATTTCTTTTGTAGGCTCTGGATGGGGGACTGTTAACAGCCAAGCATTTTGATGCCTGGCGATTGTACATCAATGCTAAACTTACAAATGACATGTTCGCGGAATGGCGAGTGGAGCCTCCATGGAAACCAGTGTCAAAAAAGGGTCAAGGAAAGCGTATGGGGAAGGGGAAAAGCCCCATTTCACATTATGTAACCCCCGTCAAAGCAGACCGTATCATTATGGAAATCGGTGGAAAAATTGAATTAAGACAAGTGTATAGAATGCTTCGTCATGTTGCAAATCAGTGTCCATTTCATGCTAGAATTGTGAGTGAAGAAATTCTGAAGAAAGAAGAAGAGCAAGAGAACTGGATCAGAGATAATAATCTTAATCCATTCTCCTATAAGTACTGTGCCAAAAACAATTTTCTGGGAATCAGGAAAGACCTCAGTCCATATGATTTAATCTTTTTTGGTAAATACAGGTAGATTCACTTAAGTCTTATCTTTATCTTGTTTAAGAATAAAACATTTGTTTTAAATCACTGAGCATTTTGCAGAGTGATGCTGTTTTTTTGCTCTTGGTTTCAGATAAAAATGTAACGTGCTTGGTGGAAAGAAAAATTTTATTATTATAAGTTCAGAAAATAAATTATTTGTATAATGATTAAAGTTATTTTGCTGTTCAGATAATAATTTAAAAAAATAATAATAAACTTTATTCATGTATTTGTTTCATTTGTTTATGGAGGATTGTGTTACAAAGGAATGAATGGAAACTCCGAATTACATAACTAAATATTTCTAAAGCTGCAATCTTTAATCTGAATATCAAAGAAATTTTGTCATTACATTCAATGGCATAGGGCAGGCACATAGAATCGGGGTGGGGTGGAGGGGGGGGGGGGTACATTAAACTGCCAAAAAGGTATTTTCCAAAAAATCCGGAAATCTTTAAAAAAAAAAAAATAAATGTCTAAAATGAAAATAAGAAATGTCGGAAATCAAAATAAAAATTGCCGGAAACGCAATGCAAAATTCCGGAAATGGAATGCAGTGAATTAAAATCTTCCATTCAAAACCCCTTCCATTCAATGTCTTGAAAATATAAACAAACATGTCCTTAGACAATTTTTGAAGGTAATTAATTTCCAGATGGTGATTTTATAAAACTGAAGAGCATGTACAACCTAGATAATCAAGTAATTCACGCATTTATCAAGCCTGTAGAAGACGGGGGGGGGGGGTTGCCCCCTCCACTTTTCACTTTTTCTGAGTATAGTATTTTGCTACTAGTATTTTAATTTCCTTTTCTTTTTGTTGTTTTGAGGTCGAGAACTGTTTTTTGCTTGTCAGACTTTTTGGGAAGTTACGCCCCCCCCCCCCCCCACTTTTGAAACCATTGCTATGGGCCTGTTTATTATGAAATTGAGCCCTTTACATGTACATTCACTTAAATTCAATTCGTTTATTTACTAAATAAGTGACAACATGAAGGCACATTGTAAATACTCCTATTAGGTCATATACATATACATGTTATACAATATACATACACATGCACTTGATTGAAAGAAAAAGACACCCCCCCCCAAAAAAAAAAAATGGGGATTATATATATATATATATATATATATATATATATATATATATATATATATATATATATATATATATATACAACTTCAGACGTATATATACATGCAGACTGTACAACTTCAGACGTATTGTGCAAATTAATTTTCAAGAAGTGGTGTAAACCAAATGTGGATTCTAAAAACCCGAAGAACTTGTGAAAAATTTAAAATCTCAACATTTTTCAAACTTCAAAACACCCAACGCTTTACACAACCATTCCCCATGATAAATTAAAGAACATGGTTTTAAAAGGATGCTGGAGTTCGTCATTGACAGTATCTATGAAGTCTTTGGAGACCAGATCTTCCAACAATCTATTGGAATTCCGATGGAAACTAATTGTACCCCTTTATTAGCCGACCTACTTTTATATTCCTATGAAGCAGAATTTATTCAAAAACTTCTACATGAGAAGAAGAAAATTCTTGCTGTGGCCTTTAACTCGACACTTAGACATATCGACGACGTTTTATCAATTCACAGTTACTTTCATTTATATATAGACTCGATATATATCCCAATAAACTCGAAATAAAAGACAATACAGAGTCTGTCATATCTGCTTCGTATTTGGATGTTTTACTGACTATAGACGATAATGGGCAACTAAAACGAAATTATATGACAAACGAGGTAACTTCTGCTTTTCCATCGTCAACTTTCCATAGTTATGAAGTAATATTCCAACGTCACCTGTATATGGTATTTATGTCTTCCAACTGATTTGATATACAACAGCATGCTCTAAGTACGATCGATTTTTAAACCGAGACAAGCTACTGACAAACAAGTTGATGTAACAAGGATTTCATCGACCCCGTTTAAAGTAAGCTTTTTGCAAAATTCTACGGTCGTATGATGACCTTGTTTGTAAATACAACCTTTCCTTGGGTCGTATTTTGTCTGACATGTTTCATACCATTTGTTAGATCATTACTCTTGTACTAAATTTGACTAGGGAATGTTCCGTATACCTGATCAACACATAGGACTCACGGCGGGTGTGACCGGTCAACAGGGTATGCTTTCTCCTCCTACGGACCTGATCCCGCCTCTGATGTTTCCAGGGGTCCGCGTTTTTGCCCTGTTTACGATTCGTTTTGTGTACTGGATTTATGAGATTAATCACAGTGACTTCGTTATCTTCACATTTTACACTTTGCATAACTATTGAGAACTTAGATCGATGTTTAAACTAAACAACGCACTGAATTTGTTCTTACATTTTCATTTGCAGCACGTTGGCGTTATTAATCTTAAGGCTGAACCTTTTCAGTTTAAGATATAGACAGGAATCTGTACAACAATAGGTTAGGTAACAGCTGGGGAAGCCCATTGTCGTATATACTCAGATTAATGTATTGACAAGGTTATTGTCAGATACATCGATGAAACATGTTGCATTAATAATTCTACGTAGAAGCGTTATCTTTTTCTCTTTTTTGTCATTTTAGTTTCTACCTTCTGCAGGGTGAGTACGATATATATACATGTATAAACATATCTTGCTTAAGGAGACTGAGTGGTCAAGATCCACATAAAAATATGAAAATATTGCTAATATAATATAGGAATAAAAATTGTTCTTGGACTTTATCGTCGTTTTTTGTCACCAAAAAAGTCAAACAACAAAATAGAAAAAGATTAATTTGTGAATTTGTTGTAACCGATCTTCTTGGCAATAAAATTTAAGTTAAATTTATGCAATTTTTAATTAAATACTATAGACCAGATCCATTGTTCAGTGTCATAAACTTCCTTAAGATTTCCATTGGTTTCTTTTCAATAAATGAGTTGGAAAAAAGTAAGTGAATTCCATGCATGTACATGTAACTCCATCTTTAAGTCATCAATGTTTCAATGTCTTAAGACTGGCTATATTGATTAAGAGAGCTCTATATATCTGATTAAATTTCTTTTGAAATTCACTTCTTTTAAAAGAGACATTTTAAAGAAAATTCAGGGGTTTGCCGTTTTATCTAAGATTGATTTAAGAGTATCGTTTACTGGGGTCATAGTAGTACTGGGTAATACTTTAAAAAAAGAAAATCAGCGAACGACACTTTTGTAAACGTGTTTTCGGAGCAGGAGTTATATAACCTGTTTGAAGTCTTCGAACACGCATCACAGGAAACTAATCAAACTTCATAAAGGACAAGATAGGCTAAGACACCTTCTTGACCCCTGGTTTGGATTGTCTCTAAGAACGATGCAGTAGTTTATATTTAAAAACCTGCTGTCATTCCTGTTACAGAATGAGCATTCGATTCCAATTTACCGGATACACAAAGGTGAAAGAAAGGTTACAAAATATATCACTTTCAAAATTTTCTCATTTTTATGCAAATTTTTATCGATTTTAAAGAACATTTTGTTTCAGAAAACACAGAGCAAAAGCTTGCCTAAATTTATATATTTCATGCTCTAGTATCAGATGCATATTCTGTATAAAAATCACAGATAGGCAACATGTACTCTAGATGTTTCCCGACCCCAAGTAAAATTGAACAAAATTCCATCAGAATTGAGGAAATTCAATAAAATGCCCTACTTTGACATCCTCTTATGGCCTCCGTGTACACTTTGAATCAAAATTAGCCCTGGTTTTAAAATAAGCTAAATTTAAAGTTAGTTTTAACTATCACAATTTTAACTATGTTTTGATTTTTATATATCAAATACGAAGCTAATTAAATTCAGCTGTTATCATACCTTCAGGGCCGTAGCAACGATTTTAAAAGAAAAGGGGAGGGGGCAACCTCCCAAAAAAGGACACCCCGCAAAAAACATAAACTGCCCAAACTCAAAAATCCTATTTCGCGTGTGTGTGTGAGAGGGGGGGGGGGGGGGAAGGAGTTGGGCCTTTCTCTAACATTTCGGTACATTTTCTTTCAAATGCTGGAATTTGTCTGTGTTTCACCTTACAGCAGCAGAAAAGTTGGGGGTGGGCAACTAGCAACTAAATGAAAATGTACATTTCTTAAATTTCTTAAGACTACAGCATAAGACTATACTCAGAAAAGTGCCCCCCCCCCCCCAACTCGCCGTTCTACGCGCCTGACCTTGTCCTTTCTTCTACATTTTGTGATAAAATAACAGCACGGAAGGTTTGTTAATTTATTAATGCTTTAATGAAGATTATACTTCTGTAAACTATGTCAAAGAGAAACTATATAATGTCTATCTATGCAGCTAAATTCATTCAAACTTTTCATCAGATGAAGACTTGTATTGTCGCCCTTCTTGTCGTCCTGTGTCTGACGTCAGCAATATGTAACGCTTCTCGTTTCTGTGGTAACGGGTTGACTGCCTGTGGTCAAATAAGCCGAATAAAACGGATTCTCTGTGGAGGACTCACCGCATGTGGAGGGGACTTAACCCGAGAAAAAAGAGAGGTGAATTAGCAGTCCCTGTAATCTTGTTTCTTAGTTGAAGTACTGCTCTTAAGTGTTTATGGGTGATAGAATAATTATGTGACAATGTTTTTCAAAATGATATAGTGTGTACTGTACAGTTTATTTTGTCCTTTCGACATTTGATTTTAAACAAGATGTGTTTGTGAAACACTGATGCCCCCGTATGGCAACTTATAGCAAAGGTTAAACTTTCTCAAATTATGGCATGGCAAACGTTGCAATATTCGATCTTTTCCATTTGTATTGTAAAATTTTCCATTTGTATTGTATAATTTTTATTTGTATTGTATATTTTTCATTTGTATCGTATAATTTTTATTTGTATTGTATAATTTTCCATTTGAATTGTAAAAAAATCATTTGAATTGTATTACTTTTCATTTGCATTCTATATTTTCCATTTGCATTGTATAATTTCTTATTTGTATTGTAAAATTTCTTATTTGTATTCGATAATTTTTAATTTGTATTTTTATCGGAGTATTGTTTATTTATTTCGTTTCGAAGGACTTCATTGGTCAAGATTTAGCCCGTCGTCTCAAGCCACGGTCCGGAGTTCTCAATAGCTCTCTCTCCCAGTATGGGAGAGGATCGTACATTTTGGCCGCGGTTTGCAACGATGGATTAAGCCCGGATTTAACGATGAAAATGAGCGAGATGTTCCGGTTGCTCTTAAAAAGCAAACTGATGTATTTATGTACATGTTTGAGGACAGCCATTTAGATGAAAAGCTAGCGCTGACAGATTGCAAATAAATAATCTGTCCTTAGACAGTCCACTCCCCCCCCCCCCCCCCACGAAATGGAGTTAGTTTTCGGGTTTGGGCAGATTTTCTTCTTCTTTTCTTGTTTCTGGTCATCTTGGACATAAATATCTCTCCTGCAAGAGCATGGAAATAAATAATCTAATTCGACTAGATTTGCCAGACCACCCCAACTCCTGAAAAGTAGGAGTCCAGTTCACTCGAAACATATCTCACTTGTTTGAACACTATACTACAAAAAAAGACTTAAACTTGACCAATGAAATCCTTCGTAACAAAAAAAAAAATTACAATCTCTCGGATACAATACAAATGAAAAATTATCGAATATAAATAAGAAATTATACAATACAAATAAGAAATTATACAATGCAAATGGAAAATATAGAATGCAAATGGAAAATTATACAATTCAAATGATTTTTTTTACAATACAAATGAAAAATATAGAATACAAATAAAAAATTATACAATACAAATGAAAAATTATACATTACACATGGAAAATTATAGAATACAAATAAAAATTATGCAATACAAATGGAAAGTTATAGAATACAAATGGAAAATTATACAATACAGATAAAAATTATACAATACAAATGAAAAATTATACAATACAAATGAAAAATTATACAATACAAACGGAAAATTATAGAATACAAATAAAAATTATACAATGCAAATGGAAAAATTTACAATACAAATGGAAAAGATCGAATATTGCAACGTTTGACATGCCATATCAAATGCAAATCAAATATGTTGAAACCCAAAGTAAGGTCTTGTCTCGAGGAGTAAAACCTTTGAAATATAAAAGGCCTACCAGAGTAGCAGCAACCATTGAATAGATATGGAAAAGGTAAAAGTTTTTGTTCAAAAGTATGTCAAACATCAAGGTCAGGGTCAAAATTTAATGTTGCCAAAGAAAAGGCCTTCTCCCAAGAAATACACAGGTGAAATATGAAAGCCGAAGCACCAATCGTTCAAAAGTTATGGCCGATGTTAAAGTTTTCCAAAAGTAGGTCAAACTCCAAGGTCAAGGTCAAAGGATCAAAGTTGTTGGTATCCAAAGAAAGGCCTTGTCACAAGGATTACATATGTGAAGTATGAAAGCCCTAGCACCAACCGCTCAAAAGTTATGGCCAAGGTTCAAGTTTGGTAAAATTTTGCAAAACTGGGTCAAACTCCAAGGTCAAAAGGTCATAAATGGTGGTATCCAAGGAAAGGTCTTGTCATAATGAACACTCATGTCAAATATTAAAGCCTTACCCTTGACAGTGCAATAGTTATGGGCTAGGTTAAAGTTGACAACAGGCAGACAAACAGACAGACAAACAGGACAAAAACAATATACCCCCAGGATCTTTCGATCCTGGGGCATAAAAAGCTACAAAACTTTCGAGCTCTTTTGCGGATAAAAGATTTAACATTGTTGCTCTATGAAATTCAGTATTGTAAATAACTTTTTCTAAAAGAATCTTATGTGAGACTCGCAACTCGCCAAAGTACATGTGTTTATATTAAATTCTCGGGAGGAAATGCATGAAATTCTTAAATTTAAAAATTGAGTTTTGTTTCAACACAACGGTGAACTGCACAGGCGGGATGTACCTGTACATATAAAAGTAATAAATGAAGAAATTTTCTTATTACATGTACATGTAGTGATTAAATGAAGAAACTTTCTTATCGTGATTAGCAAAATTTATGTCTCTGACGACTCGCCAATAAAAATACGGCTGTATTCGTCTGAAATAACCTTATCTTGGTCTAAGGGTTTTTCTGAAATATGTGGAAATTTTTTTCTTTGTTTGCCGATTTAAAATTTATCTAAATAAGATCAAGAAAGAACAAACTGTGTGCAACTCTTTGTTTTTCAGATAAGGGACAACGTTAACATGAAAGCATTTTCTCCCTGAAACGAAAAAGGTAAAGCATCTTTATAAATGAAAAATGTAACATTAATTATATCTTTACAAATGATTTCTGTAGATTTAGATCAACTTTGCATCCGATTATGTACAGCCCTACATTTTAAATCTATAATTGTTTTTTGCAGAAATAAGTGAAGCTAACGCTGATGGAATAGAGTCTTGTACAGATTTGTGTATGAATAACTGTATATCGTTTGAATTAAAGATTACTTGTTATGTGTGCTGTTTTTTCTCATTCTTCTGAAGATTTAATATTTATCTGCATGTATCAATTTTGGAATACGTGCATACTTTATGCAGTAAGTAATTATATACAGGTTTTCTTCTCAAACCCCTTTTCGCTCTGCTAGGAATTACATTTCAATGTTTTGCAGGAAAGCGGCGAAGATAAAGCTATTTTTTTTTCTTAACTTTTCAAGACACAAGCATCAGTTTAGCATTATATCGTCTCAAAAAAGATAACTGATGATTTTTGTAAACTACTAGTATCTTTTTAAATATGAGATATGTATGTAATCCGAGTTGAAAATTAAACATACCAATTGATAACTTAATAAAAAGAAATAGGCCTATTTGAAATCTTGGAGATAGTGTCGAATTTTGAAGATAGTGTCTCAAAGTTTCAATTTACAATATGATATATTTCAAATTTTTAAGCCAAAAGTACCTGAAAATATCTTAGGTAGTATTTTAAAAGAGGGTAGAGGGCGAGGCCAGAGGCATTTCATCTTAAAAGTCCCCTACCGGTGAAACCGGAGGGGACTATAGGTTTCCTCTGAGTCTGTCCGTCCGTCTGTCTGTCTGTCCGTCTGTCCATCTGTCTGTCTGTCAGTCTGTCCCACTTGGTTTTCCGCACTTTTTTCCTAAAGGCTTACAGATATTGAGCTGATTTTTGGTATGTGAGTGTATCTTGGTGAGTTACAGATCAAGTTTGCATTTCGTTCCGCTTCAATGATTTTTGAAGGAATTACGGCCTTTTCAATTTTTAAGGGTTTTCCACAATTTTCTTCTAAATGCTTTCAGATATTGAGCTGATTTTTGGTATGTGACTTTACCTTGATTAGTTATAGATCAAGTTTGCATTTCGTCCCGCTTCATTGATTTTTGACGGAATTATGGCATTTTCAATTCTTAACGGGAACCAGATTACAATTGCCGGTAGGGACTAGTACTGCTAATGCAATACTCTCAGAATGCTTGTTTTACATGTGAATTTCCTAACTCTAAAATGCTGAAGGGAATCCATACCTCCCAACCTGGATCCACTGTTGCATTTCATATTCATGTACTAGTATCTGTTATAATTAATGTACAATCAGCATTATAATGCTACAATCAGTATCTTAATGCTACAATCAGTATTTAAATGCTACAATCATTATGATAATGCTACGATCAGTATTTAAATGCTACAATCAGTATTATAATGCTACAATCAGTATGATAATGCTACAATCAGTATGGTAATGCTACATCATTATTTTAATTCTAAAATCAGTATCAGAATGCTATAATTATTTTTACAATGTAACAATCATTATTACATTTCTATAATCATTACTTTTAATGCTACAATCATTAAAAACAATGCTACAATCAATATTAATTTTACAATCAGTATTTTGATGCTACAATAATTAATTTAATGTCTTAGTAAGTATTCTAATGCTACAATCATTATTCTAATACTACCATCAGTATAAGAATGCTACTATTATTACCACATAACAATTTTTATTACAATGCTATAATCAATATTTTAATGCTACAATCATACGACAATGCTACAATCAATATTATGACGCAACAAACATTATTGTAATTACTACAATCATTTTATAATTCTTTAATCATTATTATAAGGCTTACATCATAATTACAACACTATACAATAATAATTATACTGCAACAATCATTATCACAATGCTACTATCGTTATAATAAAGCTACAAGTATTTTTATATTCTAAAGACATTAACCATATTATAATTGCTAAAATCATTCATATAACACTACAATCTTTATTTTTTTGCTACAATCATTATTTTAATGCTAAAATAGGTGTTATATTGCTAAATTATATATAAGTACGATGCTATACAGTTATTAGTACAATGCTATAATCATACTTTCATACTTATATTACAATCATTATTATTTAAGGAATGAAATTAATAGCTACCAAAGTTATACTGGTATAACCTGGGTTGGGACTTTTACACTTTATAAACCGCGAAGCGGTTTATTAAAAAACGTAAACTATTCCAACCCAGGTTATACCAGTATAACTTGGGTAACTATCAAATTCATTCCTTATAATTCAATTACCATCAATAAGTGTAAAAATACAATTTCTCCTTCAAAAATGCCTTCAAATTGTACGTATTTTAAATGTAACTTCAAGCCGATTGATACGTTCTTGACGTAAGTCATTGTGACGTGAGCAACCCAGATTATACGATATATTCTATTTTTTTTTTTATCCAATCAAATGACGCGTTACAACCAAAATTAAATTATACTGATCTAATCATTATTATAATGCTTCAACATGAATAAAATGCTTCAATCAGTATTTTAATGCTACAATCAATGTCTTAATGCTACGAAGGTTGTCCGGTAAAATCGTGTTCAAGTTGTGTAGAGTGAAAAATAATCATCACTGCGTTCTAAAAATTTCACTACTCTTTAGTACGTTTTTCAGCAATATACATAGCAAATTTCAAATAGATAATATATGCTCAAATAAACAAAATATGAGATTTTATGCTATGTAAGGTATCGCTTATGGCGCACGAATGATAACGTCAAAGTGTCTAAAGCAGCGTCACGTTTCCTCTTTGCTAAAAAAAATGTTGGATAAGTCACACTTCAATTCGGGAATTTCATCGATGTTCATACTTGAGTTTCCCTTTATTCCTCCATAAACAGTCGAGGAACCAATCTTGCACAAACATGGGATCTTCTAGAGATTTATTAGTAAGTTATGGACAGTATTCTCACTATCATTCAACTGGATAGGTAATCTTATATCGACGAACTACAATGACATCATCTTTCGCTATTGTTCTACCCGGGGACTCCCGATCAAAAAGCTTCCGCTTAGAAAACTACCATTTCACTTGTATTCTAAAGATCTAGTGATATTTTTATTTTTATATTCTTCTATAGTCATTTAAAGACTCTTAGTGCGTCATTACTGCATCTAAATCAAACTGAACTGCTCTCCAGTGTGTCGTAACGTCATGAAACATCGCCATTTTTCGTGTGTTGTGTTTATCATATTCCTATTTCAAATACTCGGGAAATTGCTAAAAATTAAGCAAATGCCTTGAAATTTTCCGAAAGACGACATAATAGATAGTGGATTAAAAATAGGATAATTTTTACCCCAACTTTATCTATTTTATATTTTTTTCCGAAATAATACTCGTGTATTCTCTAATGAATGACTTTTTGATCGTGCGCCGTAGGACCTGGCCCTGTGCACATTCAAGAATAATAAAATCTTTATTTCTGTCTATATTTTATATAAAAAAATTAAGATGTTCTGAAATATGATAAACATCTGCTGAAAATTTCAGCTTAATGCGCCCATTATTTTCCGATATAAATGCTTCGTCCACGATTTTACCGGATAACCCTCGTATAATCAGTATTTTAAAGCTAAAATCAACATTTTTTTAGTATCAGAATGCTACAATTATTACTACAATATAACAATCATTATTACAATGCTGTAATCATTATTACAATACTACATGTACAATCATAAGAACAATGCTACAATCAATATTATGACGCAACAAGCATTATTAAAATGCAGCTATCATTATAATAACGCTACAATTATTTTTATACAATGTAATTTTAAAAAAACATTACAGTGTATCATAAATCAATTATATAACACTACAATCTTTATTATTCTGTTACAATCATTATTACAATCATGTCACAATCATTTTAACAATATTCATTAGACTTCAATAACAGTAATATTGCTACGATATCATCATAATGCTACAATTATTATTATCATGCTACAGTCATTATTATCATGCTACAGTCAGATTTATAATTCTACAATCATTATAATAATGATACTATCAATGTTTTAATACTAAACTCATTATTGTCAAGTCATTATGATTATTATCATATTGCCATAATCATTTTCATTATTACAAGGCTACAATAATAATTACAATGTTACAATCATTATTTCAATGCCATTATCATTTTTATAATACTATTATTATGATGCTACAATTATTATTGTAATGCTACATTAATTCCGATAATGCAACAAGCATTATTACCATAGTGCAATAATTAATTTAATGATACAGTTAGTATTTTAATGCTACAATCATTATTACAATACTACAATCAATATTACAATCTTACAATTATTATAATAATGCCACAATTATCTTTCATCGTGCAATTGAAGTAGATTTGTACATGTTCTTACATGTATAAGTTTAACTGATGTACAGCATTCGTTAATTAACATAGCATAGGCTCAGACAAGATTTGCTGCATTTGATAAATCAAGATTTGAGACACAGTTGCTATCTGTTTCATCCTTAAAAACTGTTGCCGTATAACATAATTACCATAAACTAGAATATAGGCAAGTAACATATAAACCCTTTATCATTTAAAACCCGAAGTTTTATAAACAAGTATCATGTATCATGTTTTAAAATATATTGAATTTGACTTTGCTCGGCTTAAAAGTCTTCTTGTGTACGAAGTAGATCTAATTAGCAAGGCTGGTATCCATAGTTAAATGGTGGCTAGAAGAATGAATTCCCAGCCAGTCTGTTTCAAACGTCCCTCTCTAAATGACCACAAAATGGTTTTGAAAACCAAAATTCTTGCTTTTTTTCTATTATATTGCTTTGATGATTCACCTAACGACTTGTTCTTTAACCAGAAGAATCTGAAGGTTTAAGTTTAAAGAATATTGTATCCATTGACTAACCCCAAGTGGGGGGATTTACAATATTTCACTTACTTGTAGCGATAACTCTTAAAAAAGCAGAACATGTATATTTTTCTCGCACCACAAAAATGAACAAGACCTACTCATACACTTACCCCCTCTCCAACGGAACAGGGGATGGTCTGCTGATTCATGGATTTAGTTTAGTTTGTCATTGTTTCGGAAAAATATGATGTACATATATTCATTAATTTGGCAAAAAG